AATTGTTTACAACAAATGTCATTTTTTTATAGCGGGGAAATATTTAAAAATCTGAAAAAAAATGGGCATATAGTCCTGTTTGTCCCCTTCACGGACCAAGTTTTAAAAATACGGACACTTTAAAATTGGCCTTATAAAAATTAATTGATGGAACGCTGCGTCGCGTCGTGGCATGCTGGCTCGACCGGCCAAGTCGCGCAGTGCCTGCAACCGCCAAGCGGCTATACCTGCTATTGTTATACATAGGGTGTTGGACTGCTGGAAAATGTAACAGTTATTGCACACTCACTCTTTGCCAATGACACTTAGCATTATACACATTTAAGTTGTCAATATTCAATGGGATAGGATGTTCAATGTTCTAGTGGGATAGGATATGATGGGATGTGATGGGATTAGGTTCTGGTTAAGAAATAATGGTTGGATTGTACCAATGATCATCTACCGGATTAAATTGTTTGTTATAAAATTACTTACCTCATAACAGCTACAACTTTTGATTTTTCACAGGAAAACCATTCCTTGATAGTTGTGCCATGTGTTTCCTTCAAAAATTCCACTAATTTCTTCTGGTATAAATGGACTGCAGTGCTGTCATGTTGGAGACAATCCGAAATAATTACAAAGTTTTCATGGTTTAAACAAATATCCACCTGATAATATGCAATGAATGTGTGTATTGTCGTCTGTTTGTTGGACCAATGATAATTTTGGATTTCGTCTTGGATAACGAAGGAATAATTTTCCGCAAAATCGCCGACGACAACAAATTCATCAGGTCCTACATTTCTTTAGAATATTTAAAAAAGCTGCTTTGACTGCTTGCAATAAAATCGTGAATTTGCAACTTTGGTAATCGTATTTCTAATTCATCTACAAACTGTGTTGCTGTTAAAAATGTACATTTTGAATTCAACTCAAAAGAAGAATATAAGGAACATTCGGAATTCTTGCTGGAAAGACGTGAACTGGCTACAACAATCTGTGGAACACTTAATTTTCATTCATTTACTCCAACCAAAGAAGTAACGCATTTAACTGCCCGAATTTATTCAGACAGTGAAAAATCAAAAGTTGTAGCTGTTATGAGGTAAGTAATTTTATAACAAACAATTTAATCCGGTAGATGATCATTGGTACAATCCAACCATTATTTCTTAACCAGAACCTAATCCCATCACATCCCATCATATCCTATCCCACTAGAACATTGAACATCCTATCCCATTGAATATTGACAACTTAAATGTGTATAATGCTAAGTGTCATTGGCAAAGAGTGAGTGTGCAATAACTGTTACATTTTCCAGCAGTCCAACACCCTATGTATAACAATAGCAGGTATAGCCGCTTGGCGGTTGCAGGCACTGCGCGACTTGGCCGGTCGAGCCAGCATGCCACGACGCGACGCAGCGTTCCATCAATTAATTTTTATAAGGCCAATTTTAAACTGTCCGTATTTTTAAAACTTGGTCCGTGAAGGGGACAAACAGGACTATATGCCCATTTTTTTTCAGATTTTTAAATATTTCCCCGCTATAAAAAAATGACATTTGTTGTAAACAATTGCAAAATAAATAGTTAAAAAAATTTTTTTTTTAATTGAAATAATTTTTATTTGATACTCCCATGGGTCTGCTACAAGTACCTAAAATTTCATTATTATAACTTCCTTACTTTAGCAGCTATTATTTATTGAAAAAAAGTGAGCTCTATATTTCAAACAGATGTAAAACCAACAATTTTTTAAATTTTTAAAAATCCTTCGAGATACGTTTATATATCACTAAAGACTACAACATATTCAAAGTAGAACAAAATCCGACATGGTACTCCGAAAAGTGTCCGATTTCGCATGGAATGATCCGTATACGTCGCGGTTACTTCGCGACGCTTTTATCGCGGAACAGAAAGTACCGAAAATGGCGTGGCATTGGATCCCGAGATGTTTCCGCGATGATAGCCGTGTAACATCGTCGCATACCCCGTAGATGGTTGCCTCAACTGCGACGTTCGCATGACTACCTTAACTGGAAATAAGATATCGAAGCAAGAATTGGCGCGCGGAAACTCCGCATAACAAGATCCCACTCGATTACGTATAATAAGGGGTTGAACGCGATAAAGGGGTGGCCGTGGCGCAAAGTAGTATCTCGACACGGAAACCGGGACGTTTTCTGGCACGGTTTAAAATTTAAAAAAAAACTCAAACGACAGAGTTTTGCAGGTAAACGATATTCCGTTCGTTTCTGTAATACGTAGGTGAATCGGTAAATTCATGATTCTCTCGTTACAAGTTCGCTTTGAATTCGTTTTATTTTGGCTTTCAAATATGTATGAAAATTTCGTCCCTTTAAAATAGATACCGTTGAGTAAAAATATTAAATTTTCAACGTATAGTTTTCTCATGTATTGGAAATTATTATAATATATAATTAATTACGCTTGGAGAACAATGTTCCTTTCGAAAGCATAAAGGGTTAATGTAATTAATTAGGCGAAATTTGAATTAATTATCCAGCAAATATAATAATTGGAATTTCGATACCGTGCCTTTATTGGAACGTGCTTATATCCTCGTCGAAGTTCCAAAAGTGCATAACTCGCCGTTCAATTTGATCTTCAGCGTCGATTCATTTTGAAGTGTTTGTAGTATTATTTCATCCAATTAATAATACCGATTAAACTTCTTGGTGCAACGTCAATAATTTTCGTAATTCGTGCAAAGCAAGATCACGTTTAATTTAAATTAATATTATCATTTGATACAGCTTCGTTTATTATCGTGGAATTTATTAAATCTGCTAAGATAATTTTCCTTGAATTTTTCAACCAAAGAGCAGTTTGAAATCGAACAGTCTCTTCGAATGAAATTAAACGCATGGTGCAGCGTACGCGAACGAACGACAGCGAGTAAGATCGTTGCAAAAAATTTCAATCTGTTTTCTGTCAATACTCGACAGGAACACACGCGAACAGACACAGACGCGAATAATTTTTGTATTTAACAAATAAATCGAGTGGTCAGCTCCGGTACAAATTAATTTGAAATAAGGATTACGAAAATGGCGGAAACGAAGCCAAACCAGGATGCAAATAATTCCGAAAATAATTAATAAACAGAGTCAAGGGACGAAGATGGCCAAAGCTGGCACAGTTTTCGCTAAATCTTAATAGCCTCGATAACAGAAAACGTTCGGTATCGACCGGAAGGGTTACTGGACAGCCGGAAAGCCGGCTTTTGAAGGATGCAGTTCCACATCCGCACTCGTACGCAACGTGACCTATTTAATCCCGCTACACACGACGAAATCCCTGAAGTGTGTGTTGCTCGTGGCTTCCCGAATCCACTGAACGCAAATCCGCCCGGATAAAGCGAGATTTATTCGTGATTCATTGTCGTTTACAGAGCTCTGTTAGTGTCACGCGACTTTGCGACTCGGCCATTACTACGTCTGTCTCGGGGCTTACTCCTTGCAAGAATCTCCACGATACATCGAATAAAACGTTCTCTTCTTCGGCCAGATGTCCTCACCGAGTCGCCATCGGCTCCAGATGGTTGATATTTACTTAAGATAAACGTTATCTACGAAAATATAAGCTGCACTAATTGAACTCTCGACCGATATAAATTTCGGGCGAAAATGTAGATTTTAGTAACGAAAGTCGTAACAGTATTTTTAAATTCGTTATTTTATAATCCAGTCCACGCTAGAACGGTCCATACGTTGTTCAATTCTTTTCTTTTTAATTAGAAATTCACAAACAAAGATTATCGTGGTAGTATTATTTTCTGGACGATCCTAAAATTTCGCTTAATACAACAAAGACTCGTTTCTGTTTGTTTTTCCATGCATTCTGACTGTGTCTTACCATCCTCGACCGTCAACGACATTCCCGCTCAAAGCGATGCAATTAACTTATTTTTTCCTGACAGGGACGTTTCGTTTTTATCCATTCCCGTCTCATCCCGGCGTCGTCTTTATCCCGTTCCAATAAGCGAGTACACTTCGCGTCCTTCTTCGGTTCAAGCGCGTTATCCCTCCCCCTATCGCGATTGAAATTTCGAGTTTTCGGTGGAACGGGATGCTGGCGGCTTTCTTTGTCGGAAGCCACTATCCTTTCCGTACGACGCGAATCGAAGCGTGTTCCTGGGAGCTTGTTAAAGCCCGTACCGAAACCCGCGAGGAGGAAATTCCTCAAAGGATCGGGACTGAGCTCGTGCGTAAAGCCGATTCGACGAACGCTATGCATATTCATGCCACCGAAAAGACCTCGGTTTTCGCGGCGAATGACAAATTACAAACTAACTGTTGAAAGCGCCCTAAGACAGTTCCTAGCCACTTCTCAGCGTGTTTCGATTCTGACGGACGAGTCGATTCAATCTCCGAGTGTCGCACTTACGAGATATCTGCTACAATATTGTCTCAATTTGACCCATTGGAAAATATCAGCAAATTATATACGGTAAAATTAATAATGTTTAAAACGCGTTGACGCCATTTCCTAAAATGGCGACCCTTGTGCGTACTTTGATTGCAACGTAGCAGGGAACAGGTAAATAATCCCGCAATTAACCGAGCGATATAAACGATCCGGACCGGTTAATAATTGAAAGGCGATGACGAAGGGTTGGAGCCACGAGTCTAGGTGGGGTGAGTCAACCCCTCGAAGCTAATATGAGGCTAATGAAATGGCAAACAAGGGCGCAGCGGAGATACTCCACCTTTCCACCTCGTTGTCGGTTTGCGGAATCGTGATTTCGTTCATTACTTCGTGGACCCATTTAATTATCAACGCCAAACTTACTTTCGGGGCTCTGGGGCAATATTACGAGTATCCTAATTGCTAAATATGTACACTTGACCGGCCCTCTGGATCGAATTCTGGTTCCTTTAACGAGAATATATCAATTGAAAGATAAACGAATAACTAAAACAGAAATTTGGATAAGTAAGGTTTAGAGAATTGCACATTTTATTAAACACTTTTCTATTTTAGGTAGCCGAGGGAGGACCATTTGGGGGCAACTACGAGCACGACACCGCGAAATAGGACCAAAGCGACAAAATGGACGGTTACGTGAGTAAATTTCTTTTTTTTTAATCGATATCACTCTCCTGAAAGTTGAGCCGATGGAAGGGGCATCCAAGAGAAATTCTACTGCACAGAAATGGTTCGTCGAAGCTCAGGCAACAGCAATAATTGGAGCTGAACGCATGCTCGCGCGGGCTTTTAATACAAAATTCCGCGAATATTTTCGAGGAGCTGAAATTAATTGACGCAATGAATCGGACAGTTTCAAAATTCGTCGCGTATTTTAGTTAGAGAAAATTGTATTCGAGCAGTAAATATCGCGCGTGCGCGGACGTTGTTTTTTTCATGTTCAACTTCGCTTTACAATAATAATACTATTAGAAAAGCTTTTATATCGTCAGTATTCTGACAATCGGGCGAACAAAATGTTCGTAACGGGAATGCGACGAGACTCGAACTCGATTATCAAGCAAAGCTCCGTTGCCGGGGTAGAAAAAATGTTCTCAAGAGCGAAAACTCGTTCGGAACGACGCTGGAACTTCGATTCGATGTTCTAATGGCCGCGGAGAAGTTAAGAACGCGGAAGGAAAGGCCATAAACGAGTTTTCAACTTTTCTTGTCTGGCGAATTGATGCTAATCCTGTTTTTCGCGGACCAAAAACACGGAACTCTAACGCGAATCGATGCCAAAGTAAACCAGTGACTGTTTAGTCTTCAGGGTCGGCTAATCAATCTCCAAACAGTATATCTAGCATTTTGGAACACGTACCTTTCAGTCTTCCTACGACAATAAATAGTTTATTTTATATTTTTTAATCTCTTGCCGTACAATGGCGTTGATTCTGAATAATTGTAATATTGGCTTGAGAAGTATAGGAGTTCCTCAGATCTGTTGTCAAAGATTCGTAACACAGTGTATCAGTTGTTCGCGTTACAGCGGTGTACTATGACACAGTGGTTAAATATTGCTGAAGTAAGCTGTCGAAGGGTCGAGGTCGGTATCAAAGTGGAAAAGTCTTTGATAGACAGCACCGTTCCAGTATCTGGAGAAACGACTCCGATTACAAAGACCCGTTATTGTTTCCGCTTCCATCTTCTACGCTTCCGACGGGGGAAATGAAAAGGGAAGGAATGCCGAAGGAATTCTCTTTAAATTGTTCCTCCGCGAGTTTGGACGACCGAAAAATGCAACTGTGATTCCTCGAATCGACAGAATCTCGCGTATTCTGGACGCCCAACCCATTCGGGGTTCGTAAACCGCTCGTTGCAGTATCCTGTAGAAATAATTGTCAATGTAGATTGTTTTGAAACATCCAAATGGGTGTAAAGTGAATTATAAAATTTCCCACTAGTCCTATCTTTTAGTTCTTGGAACCACCCTTTAGAAACGCTCCTAAGGGCTTCTTGGCTTGCATTCTCGCGAAGATATCCATATTTGTCTATCTATAAATAATAACGTGACGTTTCACTCTCCAGGTATTCTCGTTACAATCAACGAAAATAATAATTTAAAAGAACAACAAACTTTTAAGAAAAATCTACAGGGGGTAGGTGCTGCAATTTTTCGAGGAAATTGATAAGTTTCGAATCGTTCTAAAAAAATTATTTTTGGTTGCAGGGGTAAATTACAATCATTTTTGGTCAATAGACATACCCCCGAAATCCTAACCATTTTCAAGAAAAAAATTCCTTACCGAGAATATCATTTCAGAAATGTCTCCTCGAAATTCCATGCATATCTTTAAAACATCATAACTTCTGAACGGATTGGAGGATTTTAAAGTTTCAAAATGCAAACGACGCGCATTTTGGTGAAGAATATGTAGATATTCCAAAAATATTCGAAAAGTTGTTCCTTGACCCCGAAAAATGAGAATAACCCCATAAAAATGGTCCAATTTTTAAACTACCATAACTCCTGCAATATTGAATATATTTCAATGAAATTTATTTCTGAAGTAGAGCTCATAGATACCTACAAAAAAGTATTACACAACATTTCCGTACAACGTCGAAGGAATTTATTAAAAATCAAAAATGAATTTTTAAGAAAAATCGACAAGGGGGGTAGCTGCCAAAAAATTTCAAATCGTTCTAAAAAAATAATTTTTGGTTTCAGGGGTAAATTACAATCATTTTTGGTGAATAGACATATCCCCAAAATCCTACGATTTTCGAAACAAAAATTCGAGTAGGTGAACAAATGTAGACAAAATTAAAAAATTTCAAATCGTTTTAGAAAAATTATTTTTGGTTGCAGGAGTCAATTACAATAATTTTTGGTGAATAGTCATACCCCAAAATCCTACGCATTTTCGAAACAAAAATTCGAGTAGGTGGACAAATGTCGACAAAATTAAAAAATTTCAATTCGTTCTAAAAAAATTATTTTTGGTTGCAGGGGTCAATTACAATCATGTTTGGTGAATAAACATACCCCCGAAATCTTACGCAGTTTTGAAAAAAAAATTCGAGTAGGTGGACAAATGTCGACAAAATTAAAAAGTTTCAAATAGTTCTAAAAAAATTACTTTTGGTAGCAGGGGTAAATTATAATCATTTTTGGTGAATAGACATACCCCCGAAATCTTACGCAGTTTCGAAAAAAAAATTCGAGTATGTGGACAAATGTCGACAAAATTAAAAAATTTTAAATCGTTCTAAACAAATTTTTTTTAGTTGCAAGGGTCAATTACAATCATTTTTGGTGAATAGTCATACCCCCAAAATCCTACGCAGTTTCGAAAAATAAATTCATTACCGAAAGTATGGCGTGAGGCCAGAAATGGGTTCTCGAAATTCGTGCTCATCTTTAAAATGTCATAAGTTCTGAACGGGTTGAAGGATTTTAATGATTCAAAATTCAAACAATGCGTATTAATGGAGCTCTAGTGCCTCCAAAAACTACATTTGATGTAAGGTCTACTCGTATACTGTGATAATAGTAACAATACCTTGATTTACGTTTTGCAAAATGGACGAGCGGTATGTTTTGGACGGTTGTGTACGTTTCATGGCAGATGTTCAACGGACAAAGAGCGACGTGCGTTGGCAAACATAGTTCTCAAAGCAGTCTGTTCTCGGTGGTGGCCGTAAAGATGGAAGAACGGACTCGAGTTCTCCTGTCTGCGATTTATTTGGGGTCGCGTGGTCTCGGTTTCCGGCACTCTTGTCCTACTTTCAGGGATTACACGGTCTGACGCCTGGTGTGATGTCCCGCGAGAAGCCATGCGATCGGGGATGAAATCGATAGTGGGATCGCTGACACGTTTGATTCAGGAACTCGAGGAGGGCAAAGACGATTGTCACTTCAGCGAATCCTTTCAAGCTCCCGTCGATTATCAGGACAATTTAATGGCAATTAGGGGTGCGAGGAAACCGGAAAATTTCGAAACTCGTTTGGTGTCGGTGTACGAAATTAAAAGCGAAACGTCAATACGACCTAGAATGAAATTAATTTGTATGATGTTTTCAATTTTGTTAGTTTATGTTAGTTGTCCTCGCAAATCAACACGATGGACCGTTCATGCTAAGAATATCGGTGGATGATAGTTTATATGCAACATGTGCTTTGTTAGTACAGCCATGTGTCGTAGGATAATGACGTCTCGTAAACTATGTTCAAAGCTCGCTCGTAGGCGGCTGAAACAAAACACAAACTCAGAACTTCTGATCTGTATAAGTACCTGTTGTATTCCTGCCATAGTGGTGATAGAAGTACTAAATTAAATTTGAAATTTAAACAACACTGTTTACGAATACACAGAATATAAATATTTCAAAGTTTTAAGTTTCTATGTTTCGAAGCAAACAAACATTTTTTAAACTGGATATTTTTAAAAACTGCACCGGTGGATTCTTTGTCGAAGAGTGCGTAATCGCACAATATTTTCCGAGATATTGCCCCAAATATTTTACCAAATCCCGACTATGGGGGATTTTATCCTTTTCATATAAAAACAAAAAAAAAATATGTATCGAACAGTTTTGACCACTCTGCAGTTTTAAAAATATCATAAAAGTCTGACACTCGGATAGTTCGCTTTGTTTTTTAATATTCAGAATATAGTTCACGGGGGATTGAAACGATTGAAATTGAGATTTATTTATCTTTCCTTTAAAAGTAAATTTTTTAAAAATTCAATGCGTTTTCTTGCAAGACTGTGGGTGGTAATGATTGGTTAAAACTTGCATAAAATCGGAACGAGAGGTCGAATCTTGTGCCAATGAGCTTTCTGCGCTTTCAATATATGCGCACAAAGCGAATGGGAAAGCCCTGTTCGGTTTATGGGGGAAATGTACGTGTCAGAGTGTTACGGTGTCCGCGTCTCTTTCGAATCTCGTCACCGAATCGTTTCGCGTTTCAAAGGACGACACAAAGCGAAACTAGTTGCAGCGTTTGAACAATTTGCCTCGCTATTCGTGACGATTCGAAACCAGGTAGATTCGATTATTTAATGACCTCTTTCCTCGTAAATTTACGGAAGCTCTTCCAGACAATTCAATGCTTCCTCGTAATTCTCGATCGTTTGACAAAAAATTGAATAATAATCGCGAAACGAAAAGGAACGAACTTTTTTCGTTAGCGCAAACTGGTAAATTGGCGTAGCAATGGTTGCACGGGGAAGTTTGATACTTTTGATGAAACTGCAGTTTTCCACGGCTATCGAGTTTGTCAGCAAATATTTAGTGTGCTCGGCACAGCGGGTAAAATATACCACAGGAAAATTTATAATCCTTCCTGCAATTTTTCGCGCAGTTTTCCAAGCATTAATGACCACAGCGATCAAAGAAAATATATTTTAATGTATTTTTTAATAAGATATCGGTATAAATCAGGGGTTAGGTAGAACGATGATTGTTCTTATTGTTCCAGGAGGACGTTGATTTTAGCAAACCAAACAGCCCTAATATTCAACAGCATATATTGGAGGTAAAGGCGGAGCAATGCCACAGTGAAAACATTTTGATGTCGGGTGAGTGTGTCCATACAAAACTGTTTGAACAAAATTTACGGGTAATAGAATTTTCGAATACCAACGACACACATAATTTCCCCGGGAAATTGTCGTCACCCTCGTGAATTCTAAATTCACCATCAATGATATCGTTGATCTATTATCGAATAATTCGATAGGGAATGTGAAATAACATTCTTATTACAAAACGTAGAAGTTGTTATTAGCCTAGAAAAATGCAAAAATATTATGGCCACCGGTGATTTTTCTCTCGCTACGTCTGCAATGTACACTCTACATCAACGAATCGTTTCCCTGTTGTATTTTTCTTCGCTCGTGGGAGTAAAAAAAAAGTTGCACGTCGCTAGATCGGAAAACATGGAAGACGAGGATCGAGCGCCATGTTGTTTTTTCGCTAAAAACGGACGTCGTCGTGGCGCAGTAATCAATCTCCGCTCTTCCATATATTCTTGTTTGTTTAACAGTTTTTAACAAAAGAAGTAAAAACAGCGCGGAGCTCGTGCCCAGTTCGCTAGATCTCGTTCCGCGCGACTTTTTCTTTGTTCCTACAAACAGAGAGGAGTAATAAAGTGCGACCAGTTGGTGAAATGATTAGAAGAGAGTCACGATGATAAATAAAGTTCAGGGGGACGGATCACAGGTGAAAAAAAAAAAGTTGAGGAATGCTGGTATGAAAGAAAAATTGCCCGTGGCCATAAAGAATTCTTCCGCTGAAGTATTTCAGAATTATTTCCAACGGTAGAAAAACGTTGAGTCGTGTATATCGTTTCGCGCGGGGGCGAGTTTGACGTAGACTAAAGTACGAAACATGATCTTTCAATATCAGTTTAATTTAGAAAAAAAAACAAAAGCAAACAGCACAGAAAAGTTAACCGTTTTCAAACTGTTAAGTTATTTGATATTACGAATACTTTTCCCTTCGACGTTTTAGTCATTTGGGAATGAAACGAAAGCCATTCGGTATTCGCGACGCGACATCTGGTATAAGCTTGTTTCTTCGAATGTTTTGAACTTTATAGAACACAGAAATATATGCAATGCACGTTGGAATTGTTTCACGGAAAGGGCACGTTTCACATTCGAAAACTTTCAAACAGCAGCGGGGAAGAAATTTAGTAGATTTCCCTGGCCACGTTCAATTCGCCAACTGTTATAATTAACAGAAATCGGCACTGGGGCAGAGTTTGCAGCGCGAACCAGTTCGACGCGATTAAATCGAGTTTTGCCGGTTCGAACCTAAAGAAAGCGGGAGGTGCTTTGATTCGCGCCATTTTGAATCCATCGGGCCAGACTAAATTAAATTAATGCTTTTAAAGTGACGTGCAGAATTTCACTCTGCTGTATGTAAAACCAACTAAGGTACAATAATACTAAAAAATATTCACGACATAATTATGATTCTGTTTTCTCGGATCTTTCAAATGCAATTCTGTGGTCAGGACATCTCACAAGCATTGTGCAAAACGTATTAACCATGGTTCTTATTTCGTAACATGCATTCTCGCGAACTTCATTACCGCGAGCGTGAAACATGCTTATGATTAAACGCTATAACTCGTAAACGAAACATTTCCCCAACATCTGACGTCCAAAAGACCATTGGACAAACTGTAATTGAAATAGTGTGTTATTCAGGGGGGCACGGTTATGCTTCAGGAATTTTTAACGACAATTTCGTAAGGGTAATTATGTTCCCTGTATAATTTCTCTCACGGACATTAATCTCTTAATCTTTCGTTTATATCGTACAGTAGCAAATGATGGTTTCTGATGGCGCGTTCATTAATCATGTTCAATGAGTAATGAACTGGCGACGATCTATATGGACCATTCCACGCTAAATCTATCACTTCTGTACCTCGAAGCACGTATAAATTTCTGTCAATGATTTACCAAAATGGCATAATGATGCCCCAAAAGGAATAAATTTCTAGCAATAATTTGTCAGATCGATTAAAAATAAATTTCTAAATATTTTTAAAAATTGAATCCATATTGTAAGCCTGGTGTCCTGAAAAATTCCTGAAAATAGACCTCCCTCGATAGATGTTCGCGTAGAGTACCGAGCCACAGTCAACTATCGAGGCACTATTGTTCGAAAATAAGCCGAGGAAGATTCATTCATAACTTTCTGGGTGAAAGTTTAGACTCTAATTCGCATTTGTGGCCGCCCAAGTTAAATACAGCTCCAGTTATGTTATATTTCGTTTAATATTCAGTCACGACATTTGTACATACGTTTATTAACTTTGTCTAATGTTCATTTGCACGGTAAAGCGTGGGCGTGCGGTCTTTTCTCCCATCCGGATAAAGGTTTCATGTTCAAAACTTTGCTTATAACTAACTCATGAGCTCCGCATGTCTAAGAGCTAATTAAAGTTAAATTAATGATAATATTGACTTTATGCGTGCGTGGGCTGCAAGATTCTAATTGGTTTCTACTTGATTCTAACAATAATCATTCATTTATCATTCTTTACTTTAGATATTACGAGAAATAATACAACATATTTTTTTAATAATTTAATAAAATCTGAGAAATGATTCTACCCTGCAAAACATTGGAACATTACATTTTATTTTTGCAATACAAGAACACGGAGTAATCGAATCATCGTTAAGAATAATTGTTCGAACAGAATTAAGATTGCCAGGAATATGAATGAATAATGAGCGAATTTATAATTCGATTGCTACAGTTCATGCATTTATCATAATTTTTTCTGTATTGTCGTTACGACGGTGAACGCAATCTCGAGGAAGGCCATTTTTTCGTTACACTTCTTTGTACGCGGGACAATTATTGTTCTGCAACATTGACGTTTTCGAGACACGTATAGCACGATATGAAAAGTATAAATCAATTGTTTCGCGAATTGTCGCGATAATACACATATTTTCCGTGCGTACGACATTCAATAATATCTCGTTGCTAAAGGTACCGAATAAACGGGTCAGAATTCCGATTTTGTAATTAATCATTTACTATGGGACGAACCACCACGCGCCTTTGATTGATCGGCTTTGAACCGGGGATTTTGATGATTCCACGCAAGCCTCCATCTCGCGAATATTATATCCGATATTTCTGATAAAATTACAGCGCAGTCGACAATACTTTGCTCGCAAATCTGCCATTTCATTCGGCAAATAGAGAAGACACCTCAATTTGAAAATTAATCGTCTCGACCGAAGAAACAGAAGAGATTAACAGAAATTTTATTTCGAACGTTTCGACTCAAAGTTTACGTTATCATTAGTGTTATAAAAGAACGATGTTAAAAATGATATAAAATTCTAAGAAAAATTAAAAGTGTAAACATTGACCTGAAAATGATAGAGTGATTAAATAAGCTGGGGAGTCGTTGTTACTAACGTGAGATTTTATCTCCTTTTGTGGAGGGTATTTTTAGTTTGTAACTGGAAAACTCCGAGTCGAAACATTTCATATAAAACGTTTTGTTTGAGTTACGTTGTGTAACAATTTTATTTACGGAACCTCGTTTTTTCAATCCATTTCATACACACCATATATCTATATTATTTTGCTATTTGGTTTATACAAACATTAAATGAATGGGGGAAAAACGAGATTGAAAACCAAGATTATTGAATTAAGTCGAATATACGAAACGTTAGCACCCTGTATGAATTCTCGAGAAGTTTTGAAAAATAAAATAGTGTCGATAACATTTATCAAAAACAGAAAGATCGTCGCGTGCTGACTATCGCTTGGATTTAATCCGCTAATGTAATGTCGTAGTAAATCGTGATCGGCGAGATCTGTAGTTGTCGGTTAGATAGGTTTATCAGTATACTCTCAAAGTGCTGGCTTATGTTATTATAGATGCTAAAATGAGGTTTACCCCTCGTAAGTGCCCAGACCACTCGATTCGAAGTGCCCGTTTCCACTGAAATTAAATCAAAATACACGACATTCTACTTTCCAATAAAATCTTTCACAAACCTGAGACTATACATACATGTAATATGAATAAACTAAAAAATTTCTAAAAAACTTCGTTTTACTGTTATTTTTCAGTAAAAAAAAGATCGTTTGTAGATACCACCTGTTTTTAAGTCTCATAAAAGAAAGGTTCACGAATGAAATGTTTTCGTAATATAAAAGGCGAAGAATGAACGTCAACTTTAAAGGAATGACAAATTGATGCGAAATTGGTTAATAGATTATGTTGGAAACGAAGTTAGAAACTGTCGGTCAATGTAACGACCAGTTAGGAGGGGTCTAAGGTACTTTTTGATGGATCTAATAGTTAATTGCCGTTGAACGTGGCGGGCTGGACGCGGGAAATTTCATCTTTGCTGTCCCGAAATATGATAGGTTGCAGAGACAGAGGCATCCACGCAAAGTGACCTCACGAATGCATAAGCAAATATTTAAACGAGAATTCTCGGCACGCATACAGTCGAGCACTAATGGATTCCTATTCCTGTAACTTTGGTCCGCAACTCGCGGCATATTCCAAATTTCAGGACGATCGCTTTGACGTTAACGCAGTTCGACCCCCCGGTAATTATGACGGGGATATTGCACTTCTGTAGGAAATTCGCGTGCAAAATGGAAATCCAACGAAATAAAATACTCTTACGCAACATAGAGTGCTCCACAGAAACAGAAATTAACGATTCTACATTTGCAACTGTGTTTCACGAACAATATTCTACTCCGTCTATAAAAGTACGTTTCACCTGGTAAAAATATTCAGAGACGATAAAAAGAGAAAAAAGAAATATTCGGTTGATGATGGATTCGTAATTGCATCAAGTTTCCTACTAACGTTAGAATTATTTAAAAATTGACAAGCAGTAGGGTTGTAAGCTCTTTGGTCATCAGTGACCATAATGGAAGACAACGCGTTAAGGAAGTCGCGAGTTTATTAATAGAAGAAATCGCTCGATCATCGGCCGTCTTCGATTAATCCAACATTCATTAAGGGGGATGGACAAAATAGGTAGCAATAAGCGGAAACAAAAAAGCAGAAGACCTTGAACGGCAATTAAATTACGTTGTATCGAATGACAGGGCACATATTTCGACACTAATCGTTTAATGAAAAATCGATTCCACGAAGGTCTATTAACCACTACTTTCCGACCCTCTGTTAAAAAGTAACGGGGTTAACGCCTACTAGAAATTCACTTCGTTTAATGAAACTCCATCCGCGCTCTCCATTATAATAATTAGTTCCATTTTTAGTTACGGTTTTCCTCTGTGAAAATTACTGTTCGAGCACGCATATCCGCGACTCTGCGCGGACGGGAAAACATATTTGGGAAAAAGATTTATTCGTTCAAAACCTAATTCGTTTCATCGATCCGGCATAAAAAAATTCTTTAATATTATACGTCTGTGATGTACTCTTTATTTTTTCCTTCTCTGATATTTTTTCTAAAATTGTGGCGAGAAATATGCGAGAAGATCAGGAAAGTATGTCATCGATGGAGGAAACTTTCCTAGCTCGTATCAGAAAAAGCAAGAATATTGAAGTCAAACGCAAAAGTCACGTTAATTTACATTTTCGATCAAAAGGGAATCGTCTACAAAGAATTTCTACCACCAAATGAAAACGTCAATCGACGATTTTACATCCAAGTTTCGAAAACGCTTCGCAGCCGAGAAATTGCTTCCGCGCGGAGTTTGCTCCATAACAATGATCCAGACCATTCATCCAGTTTGGCGATAGAGTTTTTAACTTTAAAATCGATCGCTACGCTAAAGCATTTCTCGTATTCGCTTAATATATCAATCCGTTTCCTCGACCGGAAATAATCGTAAGAGGGACATATTCGCTGGCGGTTTTTGACATTTAAATTAATTGTTTTGTTCGAAATTGCAATGTTTTTCAAATACATTTTCAAATACATCGGCTGAACGGTCAAAGAATTCCACCGACGAATAGAGTTAATTTTGAAACCACGTTCCAAATAAAAAATTCATTATTAGTAAACAATAGTTCTTAAGATATCCCGCGATGCTAATTACGTTTCGAAAATATACCGTTTAATGACAATAAAGTTTAAGAATTTCGGAAGCACAGTTTCTTTTGCTGGAGGAAATTGGTTCCCCCAGCGATATTTCCGGGATCTCGCGATAAAAATTCGCGTCGCGCGTTTCGTTTCGTCGGTTGAAAATGGCTTTCTCGAGGCTTTCACCGCGAAATCAAAAAGGCCACAGTCACGTCGGCGACCTTTCCCGCGAACAGAAAAACGATACTACGTTCTTCCGATATCGCTACAGGGTTTCCAACCTTCCGGCACGTGCGGAGTATTTTCGGTTCCCACGTGGAATTATCTTGACTCGACTCTCGATCTTGGCGACAGGCGCGTAAACTGGGTCGTCGATCAAACTCGGGAAAAAGAAAGGAAAGAATTTTCGTTAAATAAATCCCATCGACTTCGTTGCTGGAAAAGATTTTGGAAGAACGTGATTGTAAACACAGGTAAACTTTTGTGAAACAGGTTGGTGCCCTAAAGTTTGGGATAAAATACTATGCTGGCCATCAACGCCGCCTGGAGAACTCGCCGTTTCATCCTGCCCGCCCTACATAGCTGGATTCGATGTCCAGGTAACCACTAAAATTTAAAAAATTATATAAAATAAATAAATTGTCGTAAGATTAACTTGTAAGCTCCTGCGTGCTAATAGATGAATAATTTTTTAAACGAAGTTCTTTCGATTTTCATAGAAAATATATTTCATAGAAGTCTTCTTGCAGCCCGTTTAAAACATGATTTAATCGTACTTTATATGATTACTGATCGACCACATCGCATTGCACAGGCAAACGCATCGAAACAGTGCATGCCTGACGGTCAGTGGTTTTGGAACAACGATACCAACAGCACCTGGAGCAACTACAGTCAATGTTACAGAAATCCATTAGTAACTATTGTGATAGACCTGTCGGGCGGCCAGGAACACAACGACACACTGATTAAGGTAAATGCTTGCTCAAATAACTGGACGAGGTTTACGTCCAAAGCTATTTGTTTGGGAACAAAGGGACAACGTACTTAAGTCTTTAGATTCCGCGACTTCGATAAACAATCGAGATTGAATGCATTTAATTATGCATTATTAGCAGTTTAAGTAATAAAGTGTAACAAAATCTTTCTGTAGAAGCTTCTTTAGAGTTTAGTATTGGATACTGGGTTATGAGGAACTAGGCATTTGGTACCGAATATTGAGTGATTAGTAGTGGATAATGGCTGTTGGTTATCAAGCTTTGGAGATTTGAGGTTCAATATTCACTACTGGATATTGAGTATTGGATTATAAATAGTGACTATTGGGTACTGGATATTGAAAACTGAAAATTGGGTGTCAAGTTTTGATTATTAGAGACATTATTACATGATATTTTGAATGCATATCGATCTGTAATGTTGTATTAAGGTTGGGTCAGAGGTTTTAAGGATCAGTCTGACTAGACATAGCTTCCAAGATTGAGGAAAAATACCAGAGGAGAGGGATTTATTAAATATTATCGAAAGAATCCTCGAAACAATGAAAGAACAAAATTTTAAAAGAATAGGGTGTCTACTATTATTGAGGGTTATAATACTGTGCAAGAGGTCACTGATACTTATAGAAATTTTCGAAAAGTCCAAGGTTTGCAAGTAATTAAAATTATGCTCACACAATGGCTGGCCATCCTTAATATAGACCGTTTCAAAAAATTCAGCAAAATCGTGAGTCAGAAGTTCATCACCAAAATGTATGTAACTCTAAAAACGAAGAGGCTGTAGATTTCATAGAATTAATAAATCGTAAAAATGATTTAATATTATACGGAATAAGCGATTCAGTGGATCGTGCATGTTGTTACGGAAAGGGAAACAACAACCCAAGGGGATTAGAACTCTTGCAGGCGGTGGAAATCGATGGGAATTATAGCAATGACGTCAATCGTTTGTTAGAGGAAGGCAAGTGCCTTCTAGCGTTGATTAGGCATAGGTCTCGTGTTCTCTATTATTTGCTCGTTGTTTATCATCCTGCCGTTTCCATCATCGTCGTCCACTCTCGTCCGTAACAGATTCAAACTGCTACGAACCTTTTAACCTGTCGAGAAGCGCGGAAACGTCGAAAATAACGGAATAACAGCAAACATCGAAAAGAGCTTTCTCGAAATGTTTCCAAGCATGTAACTTGTCTCTTGTTCACCTCGACATTGAAACTTCACTGATGGAATTACGAGTTTCCAATCCCCCCTTGTTACCTCTTTTACGAAGCAATTAAATTCGTGCCCAATTGACCTTTATGGCCGTCGATAAAGAACTTGATTGTCCAAAATTGTGTTGCAGAAATTCATCCCGATAGTGAAGACAATTTCGAAAGTTGGCTACACCGTTTCATTTTTTACCCTGGTGGTGGCGTTTTTCATTCTGGCCGTGATCAAGTAAGTATCACCTTAATATCGGAATTTTCAAGTTTCGAGTTTCGAGTTTTCCCGGTTAGCTTTCCGTCCCGATGATAATTTTTCAGTAAAAAAAAAAAAACCGTATTGATCGATCCACTTAAACAATTCGCCCTCCCGCCCAGCGACAATCTTTTCAAAGAAGTCTGTGTGTGTGTGTGTCCTTTGTCGTTTCACCCGTTCTCGCCACGACAAATGTTCATCGATGTCTCTAATCGTCGAAACCTCGGATCACTACTCCAAGTTTGTCCCGAATTGGACGTAGGAAATTAAGATGCCCGCGAAACATGCTCCACATGCATCTGTTCGCCTCGTTCATGCTGAGAGCGTTCATGGCCCTTATGAAGGACTTCCTCTTCGTCTCCGGGATCGGCCTCGCCTCGGACGTGATGATCAAACACGGGAAATACTATTGGCTGGTCGACGAGGAGGAGAGCAGCTGGCTGTGCAAGGCGTTCACCAGCATGTGGCAGTATTTCATTCTTGCAAACTACTTCTGGATACTGATGGAGGGCCTCTACTTGCACAATTTGGTCTTCCTCGCGCTCTTCGCCGATGGGAACTCCAGCATCGCCGGCTACGTCTGCCTCGGATGGGGTGAGTCCCCTCTACGGTTTCAAAATAACCCCATTTTCAAATTAAAATCAAAGGTTTCTCAATTTACGTGGCCAATATTGGAACAGAGACTAGGGCATCCAAGTCAATTATCTTCAAATTCTGTCAATTGCAGTTCTTGACTAATAAAAACATCAAAGCACGATTTTTTATTGCGTCAAAGAACGAACTGCACGGGAAAAATCTTCCGTAATTTATGTTTTACACATCTTTAACGAGCCTCGGGATAATTTTACCCCCAGCGTTTGCAATGAGGAATATTATCTCGAGGAACGCGTGGGCGTTGCATTGTTAGTATTCGAATAAATAGCTGCCGGGAATTTAGCCTTCTGAAATCGCTTGCTCTATCGTTCGAACGAGCTCGTAGTCTCGTTAAGCTCGTTGAGAACTTGGAGTTTGTTTCATTGAAAAGCATCGTAGTTAAAACTGTTGCCCGTTAGATAAAGTTTCGAGTAGACAGGCTTAATTTACGGAGTTCCGATGATTCTGATTCGCAGGCTTGCCGGCTATATTCGTGTCCTGCTGGATCGTAGTCAGAGTAATCCTCGAGGACAAGTATTGCTGGACCACTCACGAGAATCCTTATCTGTTCCTTATCATTCGAGTGCCTACCATGCTATCTATTCTGGTGAGATTCTCAGCCGCGTATTTTCAATCGTCGCGATATCCCTGCGGATCCGCCCCTCGTCTACGGAGATTATACTTTATCCGTTTCTGTTTCACTTTGAATTCCACAGATTAACTTCGTGTTGTTCGTGAACATTGTCAGGGTGCTCCTGTCGAAGCTGAAATCGACGGTTTCCGAGGAGACGCAAAGATACAAGTAAGTTTCGGTACTGATATCACGGAATTTCGTGCTAATTACCGCGCATATTGTCCAAACTTCGATAAGCCCTGGAAACAGTAGCGTTCCAACTAACGACGATACCGTTCGACTGGCATGATTCGCAAATGATAAACCCTTGCGTTTGCAGGAGGTGGGCGAAGAGCACCCTTGTCTTGGTGCCGCTTTTCGGGGTCCACTACACCGTTTTCCTGGGCATGTCTTACAGCATAGGTGTGAACGAGACTGTGGAGCTCGTGTGGCTCTTCTGCGACCAATTCTTCGCGTCCTTTCAGGTATTCGATTCAAACTACTGCCCCAACACCGGACTTGGGCGTCACGTTTATCCTTTTCTGTGTACGCCAGGGTTTCTTCGTGGCCGTTTTGTACTGTTTTCTTAACGGAGAGGTGCGGACAGAGGTGTCCAGAGCAGTCAGAAGTCGAAGAGTCCCACGTCTGAGCGTCAGGTGGATCTCCAGACCGTCGACGCATTCCGGCAGCACGTGCAGCTGCAACGCATCGAAGCTTGGCAGACGTTCGAAAAGGCCACCCTGGTGGAAGAATCCGTGGATCTGTTCTCTGCGCGACAGGGATGCTCGGCGTTCTACTCACTCGATGGCGAGTACACAAGGTGTCTTCTCTCTATCCTACGAAATCCTCTGTTCTCTGTATCTCATCCAAGCAACTGTGCATGCTTTGTTGCCGGTTATTCGTGTGCAATCGACATGGCAGTTGATTTGCAAACAGAGGTCGAGGTCTGTCTCACGAAGATTTTCTGTCGACCATGTATTAAAAGAAAGGTCGATTTACATTGATACACGGTATAATAAACTTTCATTCGTTGAGAAGGTTTCCTTTAAAGCTTTGCATTTATTCCTCTCGGAGTTCTCAATCCTCTTTGTCATGCGGTTCCATGGAGCTGTCGGAAGGAATAGCACTATTTTTCCTTGCACTTCCCGACATTTTTCCCGTCCAGAAAACCCACACGCGAGAGTCAAATTGCGATCGTGACGGACGATAGAGATTTTCAAGCTCGCGCGTTACGCTGATCCACCTGTGTCCCGTCAATGTTACGATCGCGTCGACGCTCTGTAGAATTACTACCCCTTCGAGATCGATCGCGGCCTATTTGTCTTCGCGCTTTTGAAATTTCTAGGACCGCGGGCGGAACAGCTGGATGATATGTAAAAGTCGCTTGGAATTTACGTAGTCATTCCGATGCTCCTGACAGAATGTTTCTGCAACCAGAAATTACAAAGGAAAATCGCTAAAAACGATTCCGAGACTTTTAACTTAACTTTGCTAATACGATTGATATAATAGAAACAAAGTTAACACTGGAACTGAATTAAAATCAAAATTTGGGCGAAATAAGTTAAATTTTTACACAAGTAAAGGTATTATCGATAAAATGGAGCAGAATGTTTAGTACCATACCGTTTCTTTCGTCGCTATTTCCTTCAATTTCAATTTTTGTCTCCGATTTCCGGCGGTCGATCGAAAGAAAAACGGAAGCACAGATTAAGGGTCGACGATGGAATTTTCCAGATATTGGCACGCGAGGAGGTAGTCTAGCGAGCAGCAGAGGGTACCTGGAAATCACAGGAAACGGACAAAGCGCACTTCCGGGTAATCAAAGTCAACGGACAAGTCATACATCACCTCTTTACAGCAAGTACACGGATCAGTCGTTACTTTCGTTCTGCTCCAACGTGAGTACATCTGCTACTTTTCATCCAACCCCTTTCGTTCACAATTGATGCACCTAGGGGAGAAATAACGTTGAATACTCGTCAGAATTTCAATATTTCAATTTATAATTTCCAGTAATTTCCCTAGAAATTTTTACTTAATCGCACATAACAGATATTATTAAAGCCTAATAAAACTCGCTGTGCAATTTCGTAGAATATCATCCTTAATAGCGCCCATGTACCGCCAACTCGAAGCATCGATGTTCATTATGGCGTACAAGTAAAAAAACTTTGCCATTTTTGCTCGCATTATTGAAAGCAAGTAGTTCCTATTTATTACGGTGGTACATATTTTGCAACTTGCTCGCCTTCCGGTAATTACCATAATAACGAGAACCTTCTATTGTTATAAAAGCCTCGCCCACAACGTTCAACGAGACGCTCCCCTTTTCGTCGATGACCTTTTTAATTCTTCTAACGTCAACGTTGGGCGAATTAAATAATTTAGTATAATTTAAGGGGAGTTCTTTGTTATTGATCCAGGTTTCAGAAGCGACGCCATGCACGGCAGTAAACGTGGACAGAGTCCGCGAACATCATCGTTGGAGCGACTCCGAGTGCTGTCACCTTGCATACGAATTGCAAAATTTGAATCATGGTCCACCGTGAGATATCGTAAACTATCCACAAACCTCTAGTACAATAGTTGCACACCAAAGACGGAGCGCCATTTAATTATTTTTAAGACTGCGGTGATTCATTCGCCGCGACCAACAATTTACACAAACTATCGCGGAACTACGATCGGTATTTTCTCGTTTTTACTTTTATCCACCCTCTGTAACCCATTATAATTTTAAGATGACGTACTCATCGTGGATTAAAAATCGAGAACTATTTCTTAAAAAAAAATGGGTTCGAGATTCAAATTTTTCTCACGTCTGTTACATTAAAATGTATTTTCAAAGGGTTATAGAGGGTGAAGAAAAACGATTGCATTGTGCAGTTTAACAACAGTGATTCATAGAACACTCGATTAATTTAACGAATGTTCCGATCGGCTGGGCGCGGTTCCCTTTGCCTTCTATTCGGATAATCCCGATCGCATTCTTAGTAATTAAACGTCTGATACTAATTAGTCCGCATTAAATAGGTATTGCCGTGCGTCGTTCATCTCCTTTGTACGAATAATTAATTAATTGTGGCGTGTAAGCTGTACAGTTCTTGTAAATTACAAACAGATGGATGTTTCTATTATAGTTATATGTGTACGTGTGTGTGTGAGTGTGCAGACTAGGTGTCGAGACTAAGGCGAGTGCAATGAAACGAGGTGCAACCTTGCATCGCGTTTATGCTTCGATTGAAAATTTTCCACGGGCAACCAAACGTGTTGTTATCAATCAATTATCAATTTATTATCGACCATCCATTCGTGTAAATGTATCATCGCCGATATAAAACTCGTTGTTATTCTAATAACATTCAGCTGCTTTGGAGGAAAATTTAAATAATACTTTAAAATTTATTATTTTTATTACCGAAGTAGTGGTACGATGTAAACAAATTACGATTCTAAAAATATCGACCAAACCTGAAACACGAGACGTTTTTATAAACAATTCACTACAATTTGATATTTAATAATTGTTCTGAAATTTCAGTTTCGTGCGTCGTTTTGTGAAAAATGTTTTGCCCCGATTCGAAATGAAATAATTGCTTGGAAAACGTAGAAATTGTGCACGTTAATATTCCAATGTTAATTAAAATTTTCAAAAGCCTTTCCCTCCATTATTATCAATGGAGGAACGCGAACATTTCTGCGTCATCGATCGCGCGTGGAGATTTTTCATCGATCGTAATCCACAAAATACTTTGTCGTCAATTATATCGTGATTCAACATTATACAAAGTTACGAATTGATTTCCATTCGGTGGAAAAGTTGTAATATATTCCTCGTCGACAAGTTTCTTCGTTCCTTCGTAATTTATATTGTGTATTTTCATCGTTGCTAACGAACGGTTAATTTAGCGGAACAATTATTCAGATAGTACGCGACTTAAACATATCATCGTTGTGAAGGCGAACACACTAATTTGCAATTCTCATTGCAATTATTCTGGACTTTGCAATTTTAATTCCGTGCCTTGCTATTTACCATTCTACAGGTCATCAAACATGGTAAATGATTAATTCTTTAATGATCAATTTAGAAAACATTGAAAACCGTACTGAAATATTGTTCTCGTAATTTTAATATAATTTTATAAAATATTTTATCCGATACGATGCAATTTTAATTAAATTGTACTTTGTTTAATTATTATTTCCACGACATTTTGCAACGTGCAAAACTCCGTTCGAATTTTTAATTAAGAGTATCCTGCCCCGATATTAATTTCACCTCTGAGTTCGTCACGAAAAACCGAATTCCGCTCAAAGAATTGCTCATCGTCAGTTCGATTAGGGGCACGGCGCTTTGACCTGTGAAAATAACAACTTTAGCAATTAAGTGTGTTTGTCGGAGAAAATTATGTGTGAACAAATATTTGATGTAAAATTTGATTATTAATACAGAATCACGTGTACGAAACGAATAATATAAAGAGAAAATGATTTCGAAAACCTGCCGTGTTAACATTCACGCTGAAACCTTCACACTTTTTCCAATCGATTTATTTACGTACCTAATCGTTTTACATGTTTGTACTAACTATAAGTGCATCATTATTACAATAGATCTACTTAAACGTAAGTATATACATTGTTGTCTATGGCATCATGTTTTTCTTCGTTTGCAGGATAAATTGCTGAGCAATAATAATAAAATGATACATCCATCGACGCGACAAATTCATAAATACTTAACAATCTGCGCACCATTTTATTTTATCGTTTAGCATCGTACAATTTCATCGTTTTGTTTCCTCGACACCGGGACCCTGCTAATTTTTATACGATTTTCTTTTTAATTGAACCGTGCAGACGAATAAACTACTTCTGAGAATCTTAATTATTACTCGTTGATTAGGTATCTCAGATATTCCAGAGTGTATCGTATTTGGACAGCTTACATTTAAAACAGCGGCTTCGATCGTTGACTCAGGATGGACGTTTCCGGTGGTTCGCTGAAACGTTCGAAATACAATGTTAACGATTGTATAACTACGAAAAGAACATTATCTCTAGAGAACTATCGTCGTAATTGTGGCAAATATCCCCGACATTTTACTTCCGGCGCAATTGTTTAATTTTCTGAGAAAGACGGTCAATCGGAGATCGAAATAGAAATTCGGTCGAAAAGGAAAATATTCTCCTACTCTGACGAGAAATAATTTGTGTTTCGTTCCCCTGGGAAATTTCGGGAAGCCCTCTTACCATCCAGTGACATTTTCTGCGGCGTCGCATGCGTGGATCAAGTCGTTGAACGCGTTTCCTTCGCCGCAATTTTGCAATCGCGGTCGACCGTTCACGCAAACGTAATAATGCTGGCAATCGGTCGAGCTGCGATAGAATTCGGGGCTGCTCAAGAACGTGTCCCTCACTTCCGGGCACCGGAAGCCGAGAAAAGCTGCAAATTGTCGAAGGTTAATCGATCGATCGGGGTTTTCCCAAATTTCTCAAACTTCATCCCACTCTCCTCTGTTAAATATTTCAAAGGGAAGGGGGGGCGACAGAAATTCTTCCCCGCGGATTGCAAAGTGAAAAACTTCCGCTATCGGTGGAAATTTCATTTGGGTTACATCGTGGGAAAGTTTTTACCTTCTGCGTCGCAGTCGGGAACTTGATCGGGCCAATCGCAACGGTAACTTTCAGAATTGAAAGCCAACCCTTCTGGACAATCGAACACGTAACCCCTTCCGTCGGCACAGTTCATGAACTGACCGCAATGTTGTTGATCCCCGATCTTGAAATAGCCATACTGATGGGGACAGTCTTCTGTTGGCTGTGCTGGCTCTAAAGATTTTATTCGAAAAATAAGAATCATCATATGTGTCTTCGAAATTAGCTTGTAGATTGAACTCTATAGGACTATTATAAAACTCGGAGAACATAACCATAAATTACGTAATTCATTCCAGATTTGGGGCTTAAAAATTATGGGAAACGAGCAAATATTTTCACGTTAAATATTCGCCATCGAATGACCTCTGATAAATTCATTACCGATTCCCATTTACATATTTCACTGTACCACCATCGCGCTTTACAATGAAGAACGATGATATCGGTATCGATTGTGTAACATCGCAGATTGCGCAACCTATTCTTGACGAGGTCTGATGAATGTTCTCCAGAGTTCAATAAATTACTTTTCTCGGCACATTTATTAACGCAGCTATTCTTCAGATCGTTAAAATTCTTAGTTTGTAAACAAATTTGTTTACGAAACATCTGTCAGCTCATAAAAATCGTTGATTTGTTCGTTAAAATACCAATGGTTCAAGATCGACGATTATAGCTATCTCTTCGAAATCGATTACTGCGTGTTTCTGAGCGCGGAATATTATGAAATAAAACGTCTAAAGCAGGCACGTTAAACAAGCAGCTAGCTTACTGGAGCCGTCACGTCAAACACGCGGTCCGCTTGACCTATTTAATCATTTTTTATTTTTTTCATTTAGTACGCGATGTTCTATCACACGTTGCACCGCCTACGTTTCGGAGTACATGTTTGGACGAGGCATTAAAAACCAGAAAAATGAAAAGTCCTAATTAGAGGTGAAAAAGGTTGAGGCGTTAAAGAAAGGATGATAATTGAAAGATACTAACGGCGAGATGGCCTGCCAGTGCAGTCAACGTCTATGGGATAGCCGCAAGGATAGTTAAACCTGGCTTCTGGATTGAACAGCAGACCTTCGGGGCAGAACTTCTCCTCAGGGATTCCGTCGATGCACTCTATGTAGGCGTCGCAATGGCTAGGAACTGGGAACCGACCATTTTTCTCTGGGCAAGATACCTGCGAGGCTTGCTCCCTCCTCGAGGAACTCTGGTCTAATTGATTGCTTTGACCTGATCCGGTGAAACGTTGATAGGTACTCAAGGCTGCAACAAGAACAGAAAATTGATAAAGAATGTCCCAAAATTCACGCAAGATTTGAATTTTGTGCCATTTGTGCGGTAATGTGTTGGCAATGAAAAGAAAAAGACAGCGTGACAACTAACAGTTCGGGGTACACGAAAGAACAACGCGTTTTCATTGTTAAGTAATATTTTTAAAATAATGAGTAATTTCCTGGTCATGTAGTTTCTCGTTTTGGTGATCAGAATTGGCCATCATGCGATTTAACGCCGTTGGAATTTTGTTCTTTGGGGTTTTTTGAAATCTAAGATTTATGTCAACAAGCCCACAACCACCCACTCCTTAAAGAAGAAAATTGAGCGATGTATCAATAAAATTTAGTCACATTTATGCAAAATGGTCGTGGAAAATTTCGACAAAGGAGTGCGTATGTGCCAGTGAAGCCATCGATATGCTATTCCATACATAATGCTCTACAGTATATACTTCATGAATCAATAAAAAATTTACAATTTTTAATGAAAAACCTGTGTTTTCTATCAAAATTACTTCCTGCGTATATTTTGGGACACCCTTCATTAATAAACACAGTCCAAGTTCATCACACTTACGAAAATTAAAGATTTCTATCTTCGTATTAAAACACGAGCATTTATGAAGTGTAAGTTTCGTGAGTGCTCATTTTGTGTGTATTGTATTCTGTATAATTTCTGGTGTGAATGTTATATGTGAGAGTCCAATCTAAAGATGAAAGTGTGAATATTACGTTGTGAAGTTACAGTTACAGTCAGTAGAAAAGAGATTGAAGAAGAAGTATCGTACAGAGTGAGAAGAGAGTATATCACGAATTATCATTTTTGTATTACCGTTTATACTTTATTTTTATTAAATTGCTGTGTCTGTGCTCTAAAGAAAAATCATATTTCGTCCAAAAATATGGCGACTATAACAAATGTCTGTCTCCGTTATTGGGGAACTTTGAACCATCGGATGGGGAAGTCTGTTTTGTAACGGATTGCGTAAAGCTGGCGGATGATCTCGGGGCCCGTAGGCATCCACGACTTCCGGAAACTGGGGACCGTTTCGCGGACGTCCATTCGGGCCCAGTGACCAGACGCGTTTCGTAAGGACGTCTATGCTAATGCGACGCCTTCGCGGAGGTCAAATCGCATCGTCGAACTTTCTCCCGCGGTTTTCGGTGTGAGCGTGAGCGTCCGGACGCTCCACGGACCGGTTTCGTCTTCAAGGTGTTGCATTATGCAACCGACGGACGTTTTCCAATCGCAAAATACACCTGTGCCGCGGACGATTCGTCAACGGGAACCTTGGTCCTCCAAAAAATGCAAATCAACGTGGACGAAAGACGAATCGGACGCAACGAGTAGCCGGATACTCTACGAATACGATCATCTTTGCTATACTTTGTCTGGAAACTAAATTATTTAAAGGATGGGAAGGCTCACCCTGAAAAACTCTACTAATCAATGGCTAATTGTAATGCTGTGAATGCTTAACGCAAAGTGCGACTCGAATGTCCAGAGAAACGAGACTCTTATTGCAACAAATAGCGTGGTATGCCACAAAATTAACACTTGGATCGACAAAAGGCACGATCCATACAGACGAAAATAGGAGGGTTTGTTAAAATTCAGTGCGCGTTGCACAATGCCTGCACCATTGAAATATTCAGCATTATCGGTGCTGCTACTGCGTCACATCCATACGATGAAAACAATTGTCGCACAGAAAACTTCGGTCTATTTCTTCCGATGACGAGTAACCAGACGTCTTTCGTACACGTTTCGACAACGAACAGAATTTATTTTCAACCTGTAGTCTCAACTGTAACATTGCAATGGCTAAAAACCGTGCAACGAACATGAACACGTTTAGATGTGAACCTTAGGAGCGTAGAAGCCCATGGAACTTGTTATCTACTCAACCAAACACGTCAGTCAGCGAAAAGATGATCAAGGGAGACGTCGAAAATAAATCAGAAGGATATCGATGACACTTTGAAATTTATTTGTTTGGAATGCACATAAATTGACTCGTTATTCCATCTTCACCAGCGAAGGTTTCGCAAAGTCGCGTTTCTCTTTCTGGAAGATACAATCACCGGCAGATTCATGGATTTACTCACAGTTTGCGACCGCGATCACGCCGCAGGCGATCACCAGACGAACGATCGTTTTTGAAGTCATCTTCGAGCTCTTGCTGTCCCGATCCCGAAACCAGCACTAAAGTGTCGTCTCCTCTTCCTCGCGAGCTTTTATCATCTACGACCGGGCGCGAGGAGAGGAGAGACCACCCACCACCGCACCTTCGAGCACGATTCCACTGATGATTTTGCTTCTTCGAAAAGGAGGGGAGTGTTTGGACCCATTGATATCTCAATTCTCTTTCTTATTCACTTAATTCATGCCATTCCATGGCTCACATCGTTAATTCTTCAATCTTCGTTAAAATTTCCTTCATTTTTCAGAGTAAAATTAATTTTGCAGTTTCTATAATTCTGTTTCTTTAGTTATTTTCAATCAATGGTGAATTTAAGCTGTTTTTATCGAACAGTCCAAGCCTCGTCAGGAATCGTCCAAGCGGAAAACTGGAGATTTCGATGCCTGGGTCGCGAGTACATCTGAATTTAATTCTGACTTCTTTCAGGGAACGAAACTTGTAAAATTGTGAATAAAATACGTAAACCCTATCTGTAATAAAATATTAAATACCCTTAGTCATAGAATATTTCTATTTTTCATACTGCGATTTGAACAAGTTTTGAAACATTTCTAGAAATATTAGACTAATATGTCAATTAAACTGTATTTATTATACGCTACCAGTATAAAATAACAGATGAACAATGAAAATGGAAGATAATCGAGGGAGAGGTTTAGCAGCTCTCGCGGTACTGGAAACTTGCGGAAGAGAGGATATCTGGAGCGAAAGAATCTGCGTGATTGAAGAGAAATGGCGGGATGATGCAGTAATTGCGCAATATTGAACGAAAGTTCCGCGATTAGTAATGAAACGAGCCTCGGGGCATCCCAGGGACCAGAGCCTTGACATTTTCTTCGTTTCTTTCTGCGCGTCGAACGTTCGCGGACCTTTTCTCCGCGCGACAGAAGAAAAAGATCGCCATTCGTCGTCTCATCCTCTTTTACGGTCGATGACCACAACCGAGGGAAATCGATTTCAATTCGATTGCGCACTATTTCTATATTTCCACTTACCAACCAGTACTGTACTACTAATTGCAGAGAATTCGATGGATGCAGGAATTTCCTGCGATAGTTTTTTGCGTTATCGTCTAGGAAGGAGCTACAGATTGATCCACGTTCTGGAATCAGTAATAGTTACATTACGCGTTTGAAATTCTTGTAGAAGAACTTCACGAGAATGTAAATCTGCCTTGGGACGTAGTGGGGATTCTATTTTATCGGTCCAGCGACGTTTCCAACGAGGATCGTCGCATAAAATCCATCTCTTATCCCCAATTACTAAGTGCTTTAGGGAAGATTTGTTTTTTATTGCGTAGGGGGAAAGATATGTTCGAGGGGATTCCATTATGTTACGTGGAATGGAACCAATACTCTGATAACAAACAACGATTATAAATGACTGGAAAATTTTTGTCAATGAAGTGAAAACCCCACTTAAACGCCTAATGCATTTATTGTGTTCGTTCGAATCATTGAAATTCTTTTAGAAAATAAGATTGTTAAATCTATTTTGAGGGTTTTATTTTGTGTCTAAATCCATTATCGATTTTAATCGAGGAAAAACGAAGAATACTTTCGAACGTTATAAAATTGACGACCAAACCGGGGAAGTAATGGCAATTTGTTTCCGGTCGAAATTGCAAGCTATAAAGCTTTTCCTCTGATTCGTTCCTCAAAATTGCTTTGGAACAGTCCTTTGTGTCATGTCCCGTCGATTCGATAACGTCAAATTGAATTTCGTTTACGACTAATTGTTATTAGTATCGCTATCCGCATCTTAACGATCGAGTTACAGAATTTACGTTCGCATAAAATCAAATTCCACAACGAAATCGATACTGTTGCGAGCGTATTATAATTATGAATTCGTTTGTTTGAAAACCACGTTCTTCAAATTGACGTTTGGAATAATCCCTGATCAAGCGTTCGACTTCGAATAAAAGGCTCGGAGGTTAGTTTCTGAATAATCACTTTTATTTTTGATCCTTATCAATATTAAACAACGTAGTTACGTAAGGGTATATATATTACATGGAAAATTCTGTCCTTCTGGTGCGCATATATCTTTCCAACACGCGATTTTCCCGAGAGAAGAAAACGAAACATAAAATGTACACCGATCACTTGCATTCTCTCTTGCATTCGATCCCTTTTACTCTGTTTCACGCTCATTTCCTTCACTCTTCTTCTTCACCCCTCGACACTCGACTAATTTCTTTCATTCAAGATTCCCGAATCGAAGAAACTAAAATAAATCCGTCTGAACGTGGAATCTAAATCTGAACAAATTTTAAATTACAAAGAAACCTAAATAGAAAACATAGAAACCGAATGGAAGGTACGATTAAAATATGTTACTGTTCGATCGAATAAACGTTAGGATAATAAATCTTTATGCAGAGATTCAAATAAAATTTGTCCAATCTAAACCAAAAAATCTGTTCAAATTTCGCGACGCTTCGTCGCTTCTCTAAAAAGTTTCTTCGATCGAAATCTTGGCCGAAGAGTCCACGAATCGCTAGGAAGATTTAAGAACGTTACATTCGACGAGTTTTCTTCTTTTCAGCGCCATTCAGATTTCTCTAGTCGATGTCTTTGCGACGGAAATTCGATCGGAGTCTGGAAGAATAAATACAGCGATTCGAAAAGAAGAACTATTTCTACGCTTCCCGGAAGTTTCTAAGTAACACGAACTCGAAAAGAAAGCTATATATTTCCACGCATAGTCATCGATTTCAAGAAAATTTCCCGACGATACTCCTAGTTTTAATTTACCGTCGCACTGGCAAACGAAACGCACACACACGTACACGATAACATCGAATCGGTGGAACGAAACGGAGCTACAACAATTTTATACATCGATTACACTTCATCAAACGCAATTGGGGCGGGAAACATCGTCTAATTTTTACAGTTAAAAGTGTCGAAGGGTTAAGATCATGTCACATCACGCCCGTTACGGTCTACCGAGTAAGAGTATCCTCCGCTTCCGTCGGAAGTACGACAATCAGAAGCTGTAGGACGACTCGCCGTCGCGATCCCTTTGATCTCGAGTCGATTCGAAATCGATCGGTCTCGAAGAAGGGACCCCAATGGTGTTGTTCGTCGCTTCGAGGAAGAAACAGGTCGTAAAACGAGATGAAACGTTTCTTCCTCGCGTGAAGGTAGCCATCGTGACGCACAATTGCTCGGGGCAAACGAGAAAAAGATGTCGGACGTCCTCAGGCGAGCGATACGATCCCTTTCCTCGCGTCCTCTCGCTCGCCACTCTCGTTGGAAGATTATCGTCGCTGTAATTTGCGCCCACGAACCCCCGTGATCATCAAACAGTTTCGGGAGCAAGTTACAGCGACATTGAAGTACGTGTATTTTGGTACATGACGCTGGATGAACCGAGAAAAATGGGACGATAGGATTTTGTTTTTTTTTTATTGATGCCATGATCGCCAGTTTTTTTTAGGAGACCGGCGTGTAAGATATGTTTGTCGACAATAAAATCGTAAAATAGTCGTCGTTTTGGAGGTGTACTTGCTGTTTCTTAATGAAAGTTGTGTTACCCTAGAGTTTCGGTTGTTCTTTGGATAAAATTGCAGCTCCTTCTGCTGAAGAAAGCGATTCGTTTTGATCGCAAGAATCGAAGGACGATGAGAGATGAAGCGAAGAGGCAATAGAGGATTCCAGGATTAGAGGAATGAAACGATAAGTTTCTAACGTCCGAGGTCGTGGATCTAGCACGCGTAGACCAAGGGTCGAGAATAGTGAAAAGATAAGTTAGCACCATTAGTGGTCGAGGAAATAGTGCGAAAATATATAGGTTCGGTAGAACGGCGAGTATCAAGGAAGATAACGAGTGAAGCATCCACTCTACAGATAGTTTCCTCTTCTCTAGTAACTTTCTTTCAGCGTGTTTGTGTTTGTGAGAAAGGTGTTCGAGGTTCATCCTGCAGCCACGCATTGCAATAGGCCATTTCCTCCTATCTAAGAATTTGAAATACTAACTAAAAAAGCAAAAAGCAAAGTGCCGCGTCGAGATTCCGCTTTTCGGTCGCCATTTAATTCGATATGTTACCTCGAAAGAGGCTTCACAGACTTCTTTGCCAAGAAACAACGGAAAATCCTTAAGAGCCTATCACTATTCCCGCGAGAAGACCAATTCGTGAATAAATTCTTTGAATATCGTTAAATAATTCCTCAAGGGATTCTCGGAGTCCTAGGGAACTGATAAATTATCCCTAGAATGTCCCTACAAGTAGAAGAAGGTACGTATGTATCGAAAATTCGTGATTGATTAGTTTCTTGGCTCAAAAAAGTCTAGAGGTTTTCTCTAGATCGTTTGGGCATTGAACTGAATCTACAGGCACTGTTCTTTCACAGAATGGTCTAAAAACTGATCGTTAGACGTTAAAATTTGAAAAGGTATCGCTGAAATTTTCGATATGTTAGCCATTGCTTCAGCGATACTTTAGGTGTTTCTGTATCTTCCTGATAAAGAATTCTCCATTCTTTTTATCTTCATCCTAGCGACACGAATTATCCAAATAATTTTTAAATTAATTGTCGATAATAACAACGAAATTTCTTCATTTTGCGGAACTCTATGCGCGACGACGTTACAGGAGTTGGGATTAAAAACCGAAAACCCTAAGACAGCAGCCTCGATCATAGATCGATCGACCTCCGGTCGGGCTTGACAGATCGTCCCGCATAAAAAGTATCTCGTCATACATATGTATAATACATACATGTATATAATATATATAATATATGTATATATATATATATTAGAAAATTTTAACAGACGCGTTAATACTTAAAGATAAATATATAGATCAATCTCGAGCATTCTCTCGTTACATTCTCGCTACAGTCTCACGGATGCCATCCCTGCAAAAGGTGCAGACTGATATGTGAAATAGATCACCGATCGATATGTAGATTCGAGAATAGAATAAACGGAGAGACGTAAAGTGCACGGGCTGCCCCCGTAAGCTGTCGTATCTGTCACCATTTACCAATTCTTTCGTCTGTTTCCTTCCTCCATTCTTTCCATTTAATTTATAATGTTTCCTTCATTCTCACCGACCATTTCCTGTTCACTTTTTCTTTCGAAACAGTCGCGCCTTCGATAGCAAGGGATAGTAAAACGACGATATAACATCGATATGTGAATGATTAGAGGAAAATAGGGAAGATTCTGTTCGTTGGGTTTCTAATTTGTTTAGAGTCCGAAGGAATCGACGAAACAAGCATCTATAGGTCAGCGATTCGTAGCAAGTATATATCGATTACGAATGTAGCGAACAAATAATTTGGATTTAGTAACGGAATTATGAATAATATTGAAAATCAATTCGATAACTTTGTACTCGTTACTTACGCAAAAGACAAATCAATTATTTAGTATAAATCATACAAATTACTTCAAAGAAAGGTTTGCGTTCAATTTTACCCAATGTAAATGAAAGATGCCTATTCGACGGATCGAAGATTCGTAAAATTGACTAGAATGAGGAAAACCAGTTCCCCGTGCGCCATATTGTTCAAGAACAATGCAGAGGAGTATGGACAATAAATTTCAAAATAATAGTAGTACAAAGGGGGCAGGTTTGGAATGTGAAGGATCCGTGTAAGGACAGAGTTGAGATTTCTGCAGTCATCTCTTGCTGGTACCGCCCTTACAGCGCGCGAAACAATGGAAAACGAGACATTTCTAATCGCGTTCAAGCAGGGGCCGCAAAAACCCCTAAGCGATTCTAAGAAAGAACCGATGAAACGACCAATGGGGAGAAACGATCTTAATTTTCGTAATCGTTAATCGAGGTAAGACGCACGCAAGTATACAGCTAAGCTTAGGTTTAGGATTACAATACGTTAACGCTAAGCTTCCTTCTTACGGGAAAGACTAGATTTAGGCAAGATCAATATAATTTTTTTTGTTTCAAGTATCTTTTTTTGTTGTTTTTGGATGATTTTCTATTCTTCGTTTCCTAACGACACGCGCGTCCTCGCACTCCTCGACTCAGGAACGAATTATTTTCTGTTGTCGCCTCTCTCATTCTTACTTTCTCTCAATCTCTCTCTCTCTCACCCTCTCATACTCGTTCATTCTCTCTCTCTCTCTCTCTCTCTCTCTCTCTCGACTAGCGGTACGTTTAAACTTATATCTTAGCAGTTAAAATGCTCTTTTGGAAAACACAAGTTTCGCCTTATGCTAGGAATGATAATGATCTCGTCGCTCATCGTCCCCCCTTTAGCGTCTTCCTTTACGTCATCCGCCGTTCTGTACTTCCGTCACCGACAGCTCTGCCTCGTCAACGACGATTACTCCCGTGTTTTTTCTTTATACAACTAGGATAATAAATATTGCCGCGGAAAATTATTAGCTACATTCGTCCCGAAAAAACAGTAGTCAACAAGTTCACCCCCGGTCAGGAGACCCGCGGCCACGCCATTATTATTATTTTTTTTTCTTTTTTTTGTTATTCTTTAGCTGTTCAGGAGGGGTGCAGGTTCAAGCGATCTTCGATCAAGGAGCGTCGATCGGGCGACGATCGATCGGGGTCGATTGGAAATTGACGTTCTTCGTCGCGGAGAAGCGAGATCGGTCAGGGAAGCTCGGAATTTCGAAGCAGCGCCGCCCGATCGATCGTCGATCTCTGGCTCGATCTTCTACGGATACGGGATCGTTCTCGAGTCCCTAAGAAACGCAGAGCGCCTTACGAGGAATCTCTTCGAGACTTCTCCGTCCTACGTTTTCTAAAAGAAAGTAAATCCCTTTGGAAATAGTGCCAGGTTGGTCACTCTAGCCGAAGAAACGTCTAAATGAAACGAAAACTCTGGAAGAGTGACGTCTTTCGAGATTCCATCGTCAGTTTCGAATGGTTCGGGTGAAATTTATTCGCGAATAACGAATACGTATTTCAGATCTATTCGCAAGCTAACTTTTTGTCTGCTCTTCACTAGCCTGAATATCGATTTAATGAATCTATCAGTGTGTTTGTTAGTGAAATTATTAGGGTGGTCCATAAGTTCGTTTTCATTTTATGTGGAGTGATTATAACGTTTGCTTATTGTACATCCTTTAGGAGCTTCTGTTTTCTCTTTTTTGAAGATTAACAAAAATCAAATATCAGCAGCAGAGACTGCTTGGAATATTCACGAAGAATGTTGCTGACAGAGCAGCAGATAAATTCTTACGATTCTCCGTGGGTAATTTTGCCTATAAATGACGAGTTGCATGGAAGCTTTGCTTTGCAACGACTGACGGACAATCAACCTATGAATTAGTCCAAGTACATTGCTCCGCCATTTAATAACAGTTGAAAAACTGAAGAATATATACACGAATATATGGACCGGTTTGCAAATGGATCCAAAATCTTCGTTATTCGTGGATAAAATTTTGAAAACCAAAGAAAAATTCTCTTTGGAACTATGAGTCTCTTTGATCTGAAGGATCGAGCAATCCATAAACGGTAGGAGACGCCGGATACCGTCGCCGATGAAATAAAAATCGTTGAAGGGGTCGTTCGAAGGAGCAACGCAGGTGCTTCGATCGCGATCCAGAGGCCAGGGCCCACCGCGAGCTCCGTAAGGGTCGTTTATTCGCCGGTGAACATTCGATGCCTGTCAGGCTTGCGTAATAATTTATCTTATATCTTCAAATATATATATTTGTGTCGGTTTTGTTCGACGCTCAGTCGTCCCAGGTGGGGAAGTTCCCCTGGTCGACGAAGAGGGGCTGCCCGGCGGTCGTGGTGGTCGCCCTTTGGCTCGGTGTCCCGCCGAAATTCGTGCTGCCGAAAACCGGCTGACCGAACGCGTCCAGCTGCTGGCCCTCATAGATGCTGCGATCGGTCGTCGAGTACGACGACGGATGCTGCGTCTGTTGCTGCTTATGCGTGTCCGTCACCGTCAGCTCGATATTTCCGGCCGTCACTGTCTCTTCCTGGTTCTCCGACGCGCTCGCCTCCTCGAGGCTGCTGTGCTTGATACCGTAGTAGAAGTACATGATGAAGCCTGCAACCAAAGCACTCTGGTTCAGGGATCTGGCCAGGGACCCTAACTGGGTTACATTCCTTGCTGTTTTAACCTCTTAGGCACGGCTGTTTCTCTGTACGGCAGAGTGTTGAAAATAAGCATTGCATACATGTATTTTTAATGAAAATTTGTATCCATTGGGGCAGTCCCCTCCCTTGCAAAGGTCAGTACTACCTGAGGAGGACACTCGTTTGTTTCTCAAGCTCAGTTAGCAGAAAACCGTCGAGCTAAGAACAACATTTTCGTTTTGTAAAACTACATTACTGAAACGTGTGACAGACAATGCTGTACGCGAGTACATTGGAATGAAGTTTTTTATGTTAAATTGTCAAACAGTACCGAATAACTGTCGCTATATTAACCCTTTGCACTCCTATGTCGAGTGTGATTCGACGTAAATTTTTATCTCAGGAGCTCCTTTGTCAAGTACCACTCGACATGTTTTCAAGTCCAAACCAAAGAGATATCGTACACTTCAGAATTACATAACACAACAACAGTGTAAATAAAACAGATATTTTAACAGGTAAATTTCAAATAAAACACTTAAAGGCGTTGGAAGCTGCTGGTAACAAAATTGAAATATAATTCGGAGTGCAAAGGGTTAAGAACAAATGGTATGTTTATTTAAATGGAAAGCAACAATTCATACCTGACACTGGCGTATCGAAATCAAAGACTGTATATTCTGTCTGTTTATTGTTAATACTGTTATAAAACGTTGTGAAGGCAAAAAGAGTGTGAAACGAAACATATGAAAACAGTAAGCGATTGAGCCACTATAGTGGCGCATCGTGCTTAAGAGGTTAAGGGAGGAAACCACTGTGACAAATTCAAAGAATCGAAATTTTCTTTTTTTGTCTTTTTTCAATACTTGGGGGTTTTAAGAATGAGCCCCTAGAATATTAAAGTAAAATTCGCAAAACTGACAAAATTACAAAGGATATGGTAGATGTAGAAGATGTAGACTTTACTTCGGGACATTCGTTTGAAATTCTTTTATTATTAATGAGAAGTGTTTTGATCGAAATAACTATGTGAATCAAGAGTCTAGTGCGATAAGTGTTATATGGGATAAGTTACTCTCAAAAAATTCTTGAAAATTGCTTTTATTTCAGCCGTCACAGTGGTTTTCCCCCTTTAAATACGAAAGAATAAGAAGAGGGCTGCAAAGGCCAAAGGGTAGGCACTAATTAGCTGGGATTCCTTTTACCAAGTATCATCCACACGGTGAATCTGACGAGGGTCAGAATGCTCAGCTTGAAGATGAGGTATATGTTCACGGTGACAGCAATCGCAGGGACGAATGGCAGTCCTGGAGTCATGAACATCATGCTGTTCCTGCAAGAGTTTCAAGTTCGAGGATACGTTCGCAAACTTAGAGAATAAAAATCGTCGACGCACCTGTTTTGCGGCTTTCTGCTAATGGCGAGTAGCACTCCGATTATGGCGAAGAGGAAGAGGAACATTAATAACGTGGTGAACGTACCCATGTTCCCTGAAACATCGCATTTGCTTAACGCTAAACCTACTACAATCGGTCAAATGACCGTTTTTTACATTTCGTTTAGAATTTCTAACGTACAATGTTATTTTAGCGCCATTTAACTTTACGTCTCTTCTTATAGTATACGTACAATTTTTCAATATTCACTTCTATTTTTATTGTTTGTTTTCTATAAAAAATATGTTGTCTGTCTTGCCTATCACGACCGGTCATTTGACCTCTTGAACAATTTACATTTTTTTATAAAAAAAAGCGGATAAAATTTAGTATCAAATTCTTCTTAGCTTCCGATGTAAATAGGAAATATACAGGGTGCCCAACCACCCCTGGGAAAACATTTAATGGGAGATTTTAGAGATCACTGTCAAGAAAAAAATTCGAGTAGGTGGACAAATTTGTCAACAATATTAAAAAATTTCAAAATGGAAAATTATGGAAAATTACTGGAAAAATTATTTTTAGTTGCAGGATATCTTACGAATAAACATCAAAACACAACTTTCAATACATATAAAATTCGAAAGACTGGTCATTTGACCGATCTTGGTAGGGATGGGTATACATGAAGTATCGATAGGTTTAATGTTAATATATCGTAACTATAGTCAGCAGTATTTGAATACTTTATGTTACTTGTGTGTCCATTTTAATTATAAATATGTTAAAACAAAGTTAAACAGTGCAGTAGCTTACCCATGCCGCAAACGATAATCAGATCAAAGATCAGGATCAGCAGGTAAAGTATCCCGACTAGCTTCATAACGTAGCGTCCCGACGCTTCCGTCGCGGGGCCTCGATCCACCCAAGGGAAAATAGCAGGACAAAGGTACTGTGCTGCCTGTAATACACGTCATTATGCAATTGACTTTCATACAATTCTACGCGCGAGAAAAATTTTGTAACGAATATACACCCACGAGAACTTGCTACATCAACGTTTGAACAAAATTGACGTGTTTAAAAAAGAACAAATCAGAGGAAAATCCATGCAAACGACGCCGTGATTTCGTAATAACCCAGTCGCCCAGCATGTGTAGAATCTGGAACACCGTTTCCCGCGGCACGGAGTTAATTTACACAAAAATTAGGTCGCAATTAGGGGATTATAGTCCCGGCAAATTATGTTACCCGTGAGCTTTTTTTTTTTAAAAAAAAGAGACGACTAATGAAAAATTGTTTACAGTTTCGAAACAGGAGCTCTCCCTGTATTTATACTTAAATTAATAAAATTGCATTTATTTATATATTTACAATATTTCCAGACATTCTTACCAAAATTCTAGTATTTCGGTATGGCTAGGTGGAGAATTTTTTTTTTAATTTTTTTTACTCTGTGCTTACCTGAAGACGGCGTTGAAGGTAATTCAATGGCGGTCCAATTATCGGCGTGGTTCCCGGATACTGATGCGCACTTCCGCAACTGGATGCAGCCGCAGCTGCGTGCACACTGCCGTAGAATTTATTCTCGGTTCTATCGCTAACCAGATACTGGTCGTCCTTACCCAATCCCACTTCGTCCTCCTCAGCCCCGTAGGTGTCGTCCGAGTCTGGCGAAGAGCTGTTGCATCTTCTCACTCGTCTCACCTGGAACCGGGCGCATAATCAGCGAGAAATTAACAATTAATCAGCAACTACGATTGTCTCGGAATCTACGAGCACACAAACTGATAGAACATGTATTTGAGGGGGTCTTCTACTGTAAACCGCCAAAAAATTCAATTGCTTATTTGCATTTTCTTAAAGGATATAGTCTTAGAAATATGTGTGCAAAAGCATATCACCTAACTCCTAAAATTAACCAAGGTATACGTATTGCTCTGATCCTTCTGTTTAAATGTTGTCTTTTCTGAATTGGCTTCCTTGATATCTCAAGATCTACTCGACCGATTTCGTTCAAATTTGGTGTGTACCTTCAGAACATATGTCACTATAGCTTGTACTACAATGAAGTCAAAATCATTACTCTTTCTATTTTTTCTTTTTTTTTTAGCCTGCTGAAGTTAAAAACAAGAGAAAAATCGATATTTCAAATTCAAATTGCTGCCAATTTTTAATTATCAATTTTTTTCTGTCCTTTTAGTACCTATAGTATCCTAATTAAGAATCTTTTTTATTTTTTTAACTTAGACAAACAGAAGGGTTGAAATCATGGAAGCCATTAGAACACTTTTACGAGGCTCTGTACTGCCACTAATTTTGACTATTTCTCATTGTAAAAATTTGTAACGCTGATGCAAGAAGTTGCATAGTTTCTGTATAAAAAAATACGAAAGAGAAACAACGAGGTTCGCGGAATGAGATCCAACCAAATGGAACAGGAGTTGCAAAAAGTAGTTTTCTATTCTCTTGAAAGAATTTTCTCAGATTTCTTTGGCCCCCGATCGCCAGTGAACGTCTTTGTGAAAATCACCATGATACGTTGGCCATTGTTCGCCGCAGCGAGTTCCGATTGCGACGCCTGAACAGTGTTCAAAGCGGTGGTCAGCTGATCCGGTCGAAGCTCCTTCCCGTAAGTCACCTGGCCGTTTCCCTGAGTTTCTTTTGTCGGGGTTCGACAAGGAGTCTTCAAGCTCTGTGGCAGAAGCTCCACCAGGTTCGTGGTGTGCGGCTGGTAGCGTAGAATCAGCACGCAGGTGGACACCAGAGTGTAGGCCAGCAGGGTACCTAGAATTGGGCGCAATTAGCTCGAGAACACCTAGCTACTGTAATTCAGAAGATATTTAAACAAAAAATCATCGAATCCAAACAATGAGAACGCGTCGAAAGAAGCTCACCGATGGACATCATTTCCACCAAGACTTCCAGCTGGATCAGTAGGGCGGCTACGGCTGCACACAGACCGGAAGTCAGCGTCGCCAGGGCTGGAGTGCCTGTTGCTGGCCATACTTGGCTCAGACGCCTGAACAACCAAATGAATTATCCAATTAGCAACTGTTATATTTCATTTGAACACTAGAACTATCAAAGTGGTCGAAATGACCCATTGGTAATTTCTAATAAAAGTTGTAAAAAATTTACTGCAGTTTTCTAAAAGATAATGAATAAACATTTATTTCCATTGCACTATATATTTCTTCAAGTATCTATTGTTTTAATTTCTTTGGTACAAATAAATACACCATAATTGTTAGTAGTTTTATTGTTAAGATATTTTCGTGTGTGAAAATAATTTTCTTTCATTCAGAAAAAAGATATAAAATGTGTACATTGTCGGAGAAGAACATCGTTACCGAAATATAAGGCCGTCCTGAGCCATGGCGTAGACTATCCTAGGCATGGGGAACATGCTGCCGAACATGGAGACTGTCAATCCAGCCAGTGCACCAACCGCGACGATGTACTTGCATTTGTAGGCTCCGACCTGGCCGAACATCTCCACCAGAGCGGAATCCTGATCGACTTCATTGTACGGAACTGAAAAGAATCGATCTCTATTTTCTCGAGGACTTCGTTTTCATAAATTCTATCTGCACAGGAAACGGGGAATTTGCACGTTTCAACTTAATGTGATTAAAGTAGTTAATACAAGCTTGATGACGCAAAGATGAAGACCTCCACGATAGTCTCCAAGTGTAAGAAAGCGTTTATTTTTACTCGTTCCAAGTGATCGTGTGCTCGATAGGAGCACCTTGGCGTTATTTAGAAACATAATGGACCGTACAATGTCTGTGACGAGGGTAAGATGATCACTATGACGTCGAAAGGGTGACCAGGGACGCGTGAAGGAAGGTCAAGGACGGCCAAGGGCCTTTGAGACGTCAGACAACACAATTCAAGCGAAATAATCAATCGAAACGGTACCTATTAACCGCCGCTAATTAATTACACGTCGTCGACCGTTCGCAGTGTGAAACGCTGGCGGATAATCGCCGCTATACGACTTACTATGGCTTTGTTTCCGACTAATTTCGAAATTATCTTGCAAACTCGAAACATCTCCCGCAACGTCGTTAGCGTTGTTCCAAAATTTAAGCATGTTCGGTTTAATAAATGCTGCAACCGGGACTATTTAGCGAATTCTGTGCAGTTAATTCGGTTACAGTCCCATCGAGACTGTTGGATCGTTAAATTTGGAATCATGGCGGAAATCACGGATTTCCCGATATACACGTTCGATTCTCCTCGGATTCGAAAGAGAAATTCACGCCAATCTCTCAACGGCTTGTACTTGTTGAAACTTTCACACTTTCGAGTTAGTTCCGCTCCGGTTTCGACGTGAAATCTCGACATTTGCGAATCCTTTATCCGAAACAGCTGTCGAGAATTGCCTCGAGGAAAGAATCGACGTCGTAATTCTTCAAATTCTCAGTCGAGAAATAGCTCCTACGGGAGCCATAAGTTCTTCTATTTGAGATTTTACGGATAGCTTTTGGTTGCTTGCAAGGAGTTTAAGTCGAGCCAGTTGAGAATCGTGCTCGAGTTTGTTTACGTTGGAACGCCACTCACCAATCAGCGTCAACACCATACTGCTGGTGACGTAAGCGATGAGAATTATGATCAACGACGAGACTATCGCGAGGGGGATGCTCCTCTTGGGGTTGGTCGCCTCCTCGCCGGTGGTTGCTATTATGTCGAAGCCGATGAACGCGTAAAAACACGTCGCCGCACCGGTGAACACCTGGAACACACGGTATTTCATCGATTAGAATTTCCTTCCCCCCGTAGAACCGTGGCCTTGAACTGGGTGGCCATTTAACCATCGTGCTCGATACTGGGACAGAAAATAAATTTAATCAACAAATATTCTTCCTCGCGGTTTATTTAAAACCTCGACCTGCTGATTGAATTATCGCCCGTGGACAAATACGCTCTATTATCATCGAGATCCTTTTCGAGGAAATTAATAAGGCAAATTAGGAGGATCGAAGAACTCGCGAGAGGATGGAGAAATTGACAAATTGGATTTACGTTCCGACAAAGACCACGTCCCTCAAGTAAGAACCTCCTGAAACGGTCTACGTTCTAAATGCACTCCCGCCCTTTAATTTTTCAAGACTCCTTAACGCTGTTATGAATTCCTGATGCCCTCCGTTTCCAGCGGGCCGAAAGAGGAAAGCCTGAAGTGGAGGCTTAATGTAATATTTCAGAGAAGACTGCGGAACATCGCGAACTGCCTTCCTGTAAATGCGAAGAACAAGAGAGGAAAGTGAAAACAAAAGCGCGAACGCCGGAAGAGGATTAAAATAGATTACGGCCGTAGCATCGATGGGGGAACATCCGAGCAACTTCGAAATTTGCGGAAAAATAATTAAAATATGTCGGCGTGTAATAGAGAAAATTAAAATAACTCTCGAAATAAACGATATCCGTTAACGACGCTGAGGAAGAATTGGAAACGCGAACGCAAAGTGGAACACAGGTTTTACAATATGCTCGACGCGGCGAAGGGTCGTTAAAGTAGGTTTTAAACGAGTGTGAAATTAGCACGGGACAACTGAAATAGCTTCGACGCTCGTAGAAAAGAGTTGAACCAACTCTGACATCGGTTGACATGATTTAAAAACGCGAACGTTCGTGGAACGACTCCGCGTTAAATCCGACACCGGGGTGAAATATCTTTGAACTCCGTGGAAGGGGTTTAAAATATCTCCGACGGGCGTGGAATAGCAGCGATTTCAAAGAACCGACATGAAATTCATAAGGTACGGAATAATTAAAGTAACGCAAACGCCAGTGAAATCGCTAGCCGGAAAAATGCGAGCGTTAAGGGGTTGATCTAGATTAGTTTATCTATCGACCGAGCCGCGAGAGGCAATAAATAATATTTTATACGTACGAAATAACACGTTATTAAGAATCTTTAGCCCGCCAGCTGGACGAGTTTCTTCGTCTAATCCATTTAATAAGTAAATGTTCGATTAATATTTTCAGTGAAACGTTTGCACGTATAGAAGATTGAAGGATGCTCGAAACTTTCGAGCGGCAGTGTGTGCCGAGTATTAAAAAAAAAATATATATATATACATGTATATTCATAGCTTTTGTTCAAACGAGAGTCGAAGCAAACGAAAAGCTCGAGAACCATAAATCTAATTGACATCGCTGGCACGGAGCTGCTTGACGCCGGGTTCAAAAACGAGATAAAAAATACCATCGCGTTGAAATTTCAGTGGATCTGAAAGAGGCTCTCTCGAAAGCAAAAAGCTCGTGAATGTTGGAGGTCGCCGTGTGACCCTATAGTATTTCGTCCCTACGGTTCATGAATGCCTCTGCGTCCGCCGCCCACGCGCGAGTCAAACCGCAGTGAAATGAATTTGCTCGTCGAAGGTTGACGTGGCCGTCCAAATTGCTTTTTTTCGCGCGGAAAATCGTAACGGAAACAGCTGTTCGAACTACGAACTTCGCTTTCTGCTGCTTCGAACGGAATTCGAGCCAATGTCGATCTTCGACACGACTGAATTACGTCAACGGTAACACCTGCCGTCAGCGTCTGGAGCACCTGACTTTGACAATAATAACCGCAGGACTATCCACGGTGTACAGACAAGGTTCTTCTTCTGCGTAAAAGCTTTTAACCAAACAATTTGTTCCATAAATAATACAAGTTCCAAGAGAAAAATTTCAGAGGCGACATTTATAACGGCAGCACTCTCTGCTCGAAATTAACGCAACGGGATCTCGTAATTTTTGCGACCCTTGCTTTCAGGGAAGCGGAGTACAGAGTGTTCAGAGTCGGAAACAAGGGGTAGCTACCCTCAAAGGAACGAGATTCCACGAAGACGAGGAGAAAGTCGCCTAGAAAAGCCTCAGATTTCTTTGTGCTCTCCGTGAACTACTTCCACCCCTTGCTTTCAACCCCTTCTGGCTTGGTTACTTGACCTCTGATCGAACAGCGAAGCTTTATAATTCCGTCGAAGGAGAGGCTCTTTGTTAACTATCCGCCTGCGGAGCTGGGTCAATTTTTATCCATAGTGTTTTGTGTTAGGTAACTCGTCCAATAAGGAAGAAAGTTTATTGTCTCGTTTAAATGGAAAACGTTTACACCGTGGTTTAAGTGGATCGCGATCGAGGAATTGAACGTGTTCCAAATGCAATTCACGTTAATGTTAATTGTGATATTTATCGGTGAACTTTGACCTCCAGTTTTACAGTTTCAAATGCGGGGGATGCATCGTTGGGAAACGTGGTGCTCGTACGGATAAGGTCACTAAACATTCAAAACCTACGGGAAGCCCACGCAAGCCCCGTAAGGTCACACAATATACACGCATTAACTCTTTAATCTCGAGCCAGCAACTGCGGAGAGGGTTGATTACACTTTATAGTCGGGGCAGAATTTTAAAGAGATATTTCGGACGGAATTTTTCTAAGCCTGCGGTCCTCTTTATACGTTTATAATGAAACATAGTATCTTTTACATAGAGGAAAGGTCGGAGGTCTTGAATAGCGGATGCCAAGGAAAGAAATTAGAAGCAGTAAAGAGGTTGAAGGATAAATTTGTAAAATGATGTTCGCCATTCCATAGTGTCGTTGGTAAAGTGGAATTTTTTAATAAAAAGAATTATTATTCTTTGATACAAAATTATTGAACATTCGGCACTGATACATTTACTTAAAATTTAAAATATCGAATACAAAAAGCATACATATAATTCTTATCGTTGTCTGACAACAAATCAAACGATTCTACAACTTTAGTTCGGTGAAAATCGATGTAAGGAAGGTGTTGCAAAATTGACCTTGACCGACTTCACCGAGAGGACCGAAGAGAGAAACTTTGACCCTGGAAAAGTCGGTCAAGGTCAATTTTTCAACACCTTCGTCGTTATTCATCTTTATTAGCAACGATCGAGGGGATTTCTTGCAACGATTTCAGTGAATGAGATAAAAAAATTAAAAATGGAACGGTACAATACAAGGTTTTGGGGACAGTGATTTGGAAATGTAATAACAAATGCAGCTTAAGAAAATCGAGAAATAATTGGTTTCATAAAATTTATAGGACAGAAAAGTTAGAGTAAGATGGTAAAAATGGAGAACAGAAATTGATGATTAAAATGAGGTACAGGAGTTTCGAAAGCGGGAGCAAATATTGGTTCAGCAAAAACGACACTGCGTGGAATATGTAGTTGCAAACACAGTACACTGAAACATTTAGCGGAAAAGTGAAAAAAGAAATAATTGGATAAATTTCCAGGGAATAGTAGAGAATGGAAAGAATGTGAAAATAATGAAATGATTGAGAAGAACAGAGAGAATAGAAAAGGAAAGAATAAAGGTAAATGAAACCAGAGGTAGACATTTAACCTGTTAACCTGCCGTTTAAAAAATGGTTTCGCAACGGTTACGATAAATTAATTTGTCGCGACAAATTTAACAATTATTCCCGCATAGAAATTGCTTTAAACTCGATGCTACCGGGACACATTGAATTCCGGTAACTTCAAATTTCTAATCTATATTACTTCGAGTCACGGCACGAAAACAGGGTTGTTAAAAATGTAAGCACCGCGATCGTACCGAAACCTCGTTCAGGGAAATATTTATCGAACGTCGCCGATAAACACGCGACCAGAAACTGTGGATAGGTACGCGAAAGGTAAACTAGCATGCGAATAAATTACAAGAAGAGCAACGTTACCAGATTAAAAATTAACGAGGCACGAAACATTCTAGCGATATCGTGATGCGATCGTTCAGACGGGAAATTTGGGGTGAATCGTTCGAGGGTCGTACCGTACCACTTCTCGAATCAACTTTTATCGAGCAGTAAATCAAATCGAGCGCCAAACGATTGTTGTCATTCGTCGTATGAAAATTCTCCTTCTGCATTACGCCTCGATTAAATCATTAAACGGAGTTTTTAAGGTACTATCGATGGTTTCTTCGTGGGAACTGTAAAAATGCAAATCCTTTCGCCCAGCGTCTCGCTCTAATTCCACAATGTCGGCTCCACACGATTCTCGCGGAGCGCGGATTCCTGCGGAGCGTGAATTCGAATTCCCTTTCTCTGCCTACCCCTCCCCGCCCGCCCCCTCTGTCCACCTGATGCACTCGGTTTCGACGTTGAAGCCCATCCGGTGCAACAAGTTTGCCATTGTTCCGCGAACCCCGCAAACCGCGAGCAAAAAGCCATGCCAGAGGGTTGAATACAGAGAGACCGAGGAAAATGTCGGCCTCCTGAAACAGACATCCCCTGCTGAATGTCCGACAGACTACAGGAGTGTCGTCTTTTTAGATTCCCTTTAGACACGCTCGTTGCCATTTTCTTTTCCTTTTTTTATTCCCCGTTGAAAGCTCGTTTGTCGTCGGTATCAGGAGCGTACCTAAACTATTTGGCACCTGATCCTACCATGAGTCTTTCTACAACCCCTTGGCATACAATAACGACAAATTTTTGTCAAATTTCAAATGGATTTTAAATTTTAAGTGGATTATTGCGGGCCCTCCAAAACTAATAATTGTTTAATATATCTCCATTAGTTCATTATTTTTTAAATGCTTTGAGGGAAAGTTCTTTTCTATTTACCAATTTGATAAAAATAATTCACTTGAGATTGAAAGTCCACTTAAGGGTTAAAATCAACACATTTTTACATTCACGAGGTATTTGTAAATCTATTCTTTTTCGTGGCCATTTGTACGAACAAATTTAAACAAAATTGAATACGTTTGAAAAATTATTCGGGATTAAATCGTACATCAAGGGGTTAATTTATTTGTTCCTATTTTGTATCTTTGCCTCTTGAAAATTAGTAACGTATTTATTTTCTATTTCGGTTTAGCAAAGAGAAAAGTTACAAATAAACGGTGCTCAAAATCTCGACTTTCTGGGCTTTACTTCTGCAAACGATCAATGACCTCATAAAAATTCATCCCCCTTTGCATATTCATGCCCAATTGAAAGTAAAACTAGATTCTGTAGTAGATGGCTGAGCGTGGGATTATTTAACAATTTAAATTTGGGAATACATCTAACGCAAGAAGGAACAGATGCACACCCTCCATCCTCCACTTAGTACACACCGATGTATCCAACGTGATAATTTATTTTTAAAACTTTTAATTATCAAGCAGTACGGTCTCTGTTGAAGTATAATAAGCACCAGATTCTGGTCGGGCATGTGTCACAGGTGTTTATAGTCGAGTGCAGCAAGGATCAATAACTAATCAAACAAGTGGAATAGGGGACGATGGGTCGGACAAGTGGAAAATTAGGCTTAAATTGCAAACGCTGGACGCTTCTGTGGTACTTACACCGCTCCAGTCGTAGGGAAGGAAACCATTGTGCTCTTCCCAGTTGGCGCTGTCCACGTAGAACATTCCCGCCGCCATGATGAACACCCACACGGAGAGGTTGATGGCGTTTAACACGTTATTGAACACCAGGGATTTCTTCACGCCTGCAGCCATCAGCAACATCATCAGTATAGTGATGACGAAAGCGAGAAAGTCCGGCGGTCGACCTGGAGCATCAAAAAAACTGTTATGAACCTGGATTTTAGCTCGTTGCGACGCATATTTTAAACATTTATAATTTAGAATGCCTGCATGTCGAAGAGTAGAAATTTCAATCGATAGAAATACACAATTTTTGCGAAAACTTAAGTAGAAGCTTGCAACGTCGACGTCTACCCGCCACGGTCTCGAATTTTTCGAGCGAAACGTACGTTTCCCACGATCTTATAAATAAATGTAAATCGCAGTCGGAGGCAGAAAACGGAAGACGATTTACATCACTTCCTCTTCTTGATGGACCGGACGGAATTTTAATGGCGAAATCAGAAAGTCAAATATTTCTGAGACCGTTCTATTTTGTTAACGCGTTCATTCCAATGAACATTATTCCTGCAGCTTCATATTTTACCGTCTCAGACTTTTGTACAGGATATTCGCTACAGTCCATCTTTAATAATTTTCAATATTTGATTTTTTCTCACATAATTTGTCATTCGCAGAACATCTCAAAAATATAACCTCTCGTACCTTTAGGTCTTTAGGTCTTATTCATAGAACTGCTAGAGTTTTCAATGATACAAACACATTAACTTTACTGCACACTGGTTAGACCAATTTTGGAATATGGCTCTCGAATCTGGTCCCTGTACTACAATACCTACGTTCACGCCCTTGAAGGGCCACAATAGAAATTTTCACGCTTGACTGCTTATCATAGTGGTGATCCTATGCCTAGATATTCTCATAATTACCATAAATTTTACCCCACTTGAACACCGCAGAAAAGTAGCTGACTTACTCTTTGTTAACAGGGTACTTAATGTTCTGATCTCGTGTTTGAATATCGTTGAAATGTTTAGATTTAATGTTCCTTCCAGAATACTACATCGTTCTCAATTATTTCATATAGAACACTTTATGGCTTCTATAACCCTTATAATCTCCGATTTGATCGATGTGTTTAACCATTCAATTTTATCATTTAAACGTTCTTTACTTGGCATCTCCTTGTAATTATTCAGCCAGTCTCATACTTTATATCATTTAATTTTGTATCTCTGTTTATCTTTGTTATGTAACTATCTTCTATACTTGTGTCTCTTTCCGTATTAATGAGTATTTAATCCCGTGAATAAATAAATAAATAAATGAATAATCTTCGATGATTTAACAGATCTATCGTTTCAAACGAAAAGGTACACCATCGAGGACCCATCGAAACTTTTTCACGCACCCAATACGCGTCCCGTACCGCGACGAGCGCGTTAAAATGTAGGTCGATGAAGATTCGTCGTTCGTGCGGTATTCAACGTGCACGATAAAACGGCGCCGATAAATTCGGCGGGTCTTTGAAATCGAAAAGGGTGTCTCGTTAGCCGTTGAAAGCGAAAAAAAATTGGGTTTCGTTAATTAACGCAGCGCTACTCGACGATTTTCGATGGTATCGATTGGGACGGGCGTCAAAGGACCGGTTTTCAAATTTTAACGCCGCCAGGAAGAAAAATATTTCATAAAACGTCGCCACGCGCGGCTGGACCGTCCCGTCAAAAGATGAAAAACTATTTCGAAGATCCGACGCTCGTAAAATAATTTCCATCGCTCTCGTCCGCGTTGCTGATCCTATGAACAAACAATATCTGTTTTCATTCGTTAAATTTACCGTGCCCGTTAGGCTGGCGCTTGCTAAATACAACTACGGTTATGTTTATCGGGGCTAAATGGACAGCAGTCGCTAATCAGTTGAGCAAATGAAATTACCATAATTTTATTTGCAATGAAAAGCAATCGTTCCAAGCCATGGGACGTTACATAATTAAAAAATCACACTGGAAAACACGATTTCCTTTTGCCCCCGTCTTCGAGGGAGAATCGACGTAGCCCTTGAATCGTCTGAAATTAAATCTCGAATTTTAATTGACAGAGGGCCTAACTGCGTTAATTTCAGGGTTCGTGTACGTCGCAATTTACATCAGTCCTGAGGGGGCTAGGGAATCGTATCAAACGCCAGCTGTGTGTGACACGGTGCATTTTGGACGGTCGATCGAGCCCGTCTGGGTCAAGGAATCGCACGTTAACGGCTTAACCGTTCGCCTAACATCCGAGAGGAAGAACGACCAGCCACGTTTACTCTAAAAATACGTATCGCGCGGAGAGAAGAAGCTACGAGTGAAGGAATCGCGTTTAACGTCTGGCACATTGGTCGGGTCAACTGGTTTGACCCGGTGGTCCAGTTACTTGGCTCACGGGTCAGAGCAACTGGTTTGACACTGTAACCCAGTTGTTCGGTTCATTGATCAGGCTAACTGACCCGACCCTTGCGGTCCAATTATTTAGTTCGTGGATGGGAGCATCTGCGAATCGCGATCAACGCATCCCCATTGTAATTAAGAAAATTGATTCTAATTAGCTGTCTGATCATTCGGGTAACAGAGCACGATCATTCGACCAATCGAACTAGTCATAATGCTTCTAGATAGGAACAGAATCTCGTACAAGTTGACTACATATTGTAATATCTAGACTTTCTATGACACTATTTTTTTTTTAATTTATTTTAATAAGCGTCTCGATTATTTGCATCGACGTGATTGGAAAATATCCACTTTTAGGTGGACAAAATGAGGGTTAAACTGGAAGTCCTCGCCGATAAACGAGACGATTACGTGATTTCTGGGCAAGAAGCGTGCCGAGCGTGCGAATCTGCCCGCCGAAAGGGTTGAACCAACGACAAATAAGGGTGGTGAATGCGTTTCGACGGCCTCAATTTCCTTCGCCGCGTCGTTAATGGCAAATTACTTCCCGCACGTGTCCCTTTTATGGAACGACGCCCTCAAAAAGTACGATCGCCGGGCCAACGGAAAAATCAGATCGGACGAAATCAATTTCCACGTAAGAGATCCTTTTTTCTCTCTTATTTCCCGATCGATCGTCCGCGGTCGGACGTTTTATTTATTTCGCTGGCTCGACGGCTCGCCGAGCTCGGTTTTGCATCTATTTCTCGGATACGGATTTTATGGCCTTCCATTTCGCGGCCGTCTCGCGGTCTGCCACTGAAAAATGACGAGATCGCGTACTTTTGATGGATCCGTACCGTTTAACTTTGACATTTCTCCGCGCCTCTAACCACGTCTCTGTAGCTTTTCCCAGCGGTGCCTGATGATATTCGCATTTTTCGCCAACTTTCGAGGATTTCGTACGTCCTCGTTGAATCCGATTCGGTGAAAAACGAGAGGCATCGGATGGAATCGGGGACAGAATACACATTTTCGATAAGAAAGCAACGCGAGCACGGAAGACGGACGATTGCACGCGTGACAGAGGAATGGAAACGTCTGGCTTAGATGGAAGACGCGGGTCATCAGGCTGAGCGATGGATAACGGCATCAGCGAGGCTTTGTTGGTTCATCCCACGGAATTGGAAGTTTGTTTGCTCGTACAACACGGCTCCCCGATAATGCATCAGACTCGACTGATAGTCGAGGGATCGCAATCCGGGCGTTAGGGCACCCCGAACCTACGACTCGCAGGGATTACGCGTGTGTCGTTCGCGGAATCAGTTTTCGATGATGATGTGCCGCGCTCGAAACGATATTCCTCTCATTTCGGGTTCCGATTGGCTTCATCAGGGCGCGCTCGCGCGCTGAAAGTGAAACGGGACACGCGTCCGCGCTTGTGTCTCTTCGTACGCGTCGCGGATTATTGACCGCTCGTTTGAACGTAAAAACTGCCGATCGAGCCGCGGCTGATCGAATGAATAATCGTACGATCGTCCGTTCAATAGTAAAATCCATCAACGTAACGCGTCCGTCGATTCGCGTGACGGCAGTTTCGACGCAACAGATGGTCGGCGTTCTGGCCTGAAAAAAGATGGATGCGAAACGGTTTCGCGGAAAGTGCACCTCGAGGCGCCAAGAAACAGTCTCGAGTCGAAAACGAGTTACGAGCAGTCGAGTGAAAAGACTCCTCCAGAGGAGGTGAGGGAGAGTGGGGGTGTAGAAGTTGGAAAAAAGGAAACAATGGCTGCCGCTGGAAGGATAACGAAACTAGGAACAAACAAGGCGACCAAACGGTCCGTTTCGCCGGGAGAGATCGCGAAAGAAAATAGGCGAGGAACCGGGCGCAGGTGGGCAGGTTAAAAAGCATCCAAGTGCGCTGCTTCGTAAACCGTTTCGGATCGATGAGGTCCACAGGTGCTAGACTTTATCCGCGCAAGCGCCCCTCTTGCGCCCCCTTCAGCCTTTTGTTATCCCCCGAATCCTCCGCTTCCGCCCTTCGACGGCTTTTTCCCCTCGTTCTGCTTATTTCCTCGCCACGATCTACGGTAGCTACAGGACGATCCACGACCTGAGATCGCCGGGGATCCTAAGAAAATACGAATGTTTTCACGCAAGATCGCGGATTTGTAACTTTGGTGGATCCCGACACCCTCTTTACGATCTTATTCTTAAGCTAAATATTTCTCGAGCCTTTGTTGTCTTAACCATTTTGTCGATGACGAGAGAAACAAGTTGCAGTCTGCTTGCGAGATGCGCAGGAAGACGGAAATATGAGTCGCCGTGAAAAATAGAACGAGCTGAGAGAATCGTTACGATCTGGAGGATGTAGGGGCGTTAAGGAAACACGTTCGAGGATGCTCGATAAGAGCCCTTTGCCAGAGCAGAAAAATATGCAACTTCTCGTAACACGTCTGCGAGATATCGGATATCGTTTTGTCGTTCTTATCCTCCGGCTAGGACAGCGTCACGGAATTCAAATTTACAAGGGGCGTTTCTGTTCGAAGTATAATTCAATTCAATTTCCATTGTTTTCTTTTCAAAATAGAAGCAAGCAAAATTACTACTAATTTTGGATTACGGAATGACGTTAGCTGCTATCTTATAAGGGGATAGGAAAGGGATTACAAGTTTGATGGCTTTGTCGTGTCTAGTTTCTCGACGAGAAATTAAGCACCCTCGAGGACTAATACGCCACCCGTTATATGGCCCTGAGGCGTGCCTTATCAGGAGATCGCACGGTGCCGTGACTAGTTCAGGGTTCTTGCAACGAGACGCAAGTTTCTTGTTGTTCGAGCGAAATTTCTTCGGTCCGCCGTGCTCGATAGATAGAACTTGATAATTGCGGGGGCGGAGGCAGGCATCTTGAATTATTTTCGCCCGGACTCGCGGCCACGAGGAGTCTCGTTGACATTATTCCGTGACATTTCAGTGGTCCAAACCGGTAAAAATACACGACAAGTAGCGAAAGAAACGGCATCGTGGCGAATATTTTTTCGCGAAAGAGAAATCCTTAGCCGTATCCATCGGCAGCCTCCGTGGGAAGGGCGAAGAGGAATTTTCATGCATAAACGCGCGAATGATTTGCATATTTTTTAAGGAAGAATTAGATTCGCGGGCAAAAATGTCGGTCGGGACGTTCTTGCAAAAAGAAAGAAAATAGCGCCCCATCGAACGCGTAAAATATTTACGAGCGGCCCCTGAAATGTAGATAAATAATGACAGAAAATCGTAAAAATATGCCCGGGTCGATCGCGAACGGGCACAGCATTGTAAAAACTAACGAAACATTGACAGAACCACGGTACAACATTTAAAGCTCGTATCCTTTGGGAATTTCGAAATAGGATGTCGGAACGTATCGCTATCCTCTCGTAAAAATAGACATGGAAGTTCCTTTTACAAAGAGGGACAAAATGGTCGGATAGAATATTGGACGGGAAAGTTCTGTCCGTTTTTTCGCCGCATTCGTTCATTCCGACGATCGTAAACAGTACCCTCCAGACTTCAGACACGTTTTTTTAGGATCTCGAAATTCCTTCTCTAAAAATTTCATGTATCGAGATTGCGATGGAGGGCAGAAATATGCTCGAGAAAATTCTCAGCGCAATGTAAAAAAGTTCTTCCATTAACGTTCGACGGTGCTTGAATTTTTCCATGCAACTCTGCAGTCGTACAACGGAGCAGAGCATGAATCTACGTATTACAATAAGTTAGAAAGGTAGAATAACATTTTTTTGTTCGTGGATTTGTTTTCGAGAATATCGACTTTGAAAATTTATGGAGTACGGCTCCGGTGCAAGTAGAAATATCGACAATTTGCCGAACGCGCGAGTAGAAATATCGATAATTTATCAGACCTGCCAGATAAATCGTATTTCCATTTATCCAATTATCTCGAAAACGATGCCTCCAACGAGAAAATATTATCCTCCTTTTTCGACTCATTTTTGCATGTTAAACTACCCTCTATCCGATTGAACCACCCTTCCTACCCCGTTATGAATGTATCATACCTGAAACAATCGCGGCGATTTTTCAGGCATTTTCGCCAAACTCGTACAATACTGTTCCCTACAAAAGTTGCTCGACAGTCAGCGAACGACAATTTGCAATAGCGAAAATTGATAAAAATCAGAATAAACTCAATTTTTCTCTAACGAAACTCTATATCTTCGTATATATCTATCGACGTACACCCTCGTCAGAGAAGTAGTTATTGTCCGCGAAATTGTCAATTTTCTAGCTGCTATAACTCCGTCAAAAATGATCGTAGGATCATGTTTTTTTTTTTAAATTGAAGCTTGGAGCATTCACTTTATCATACCATGTTTTAATTTTCAGTTTCACGTATCTCCACTACTGTAGGATATTAAATACAAGTACACGTTCATGGTACCTACAAATTATGAAATCTAACACTATCTATGGATTAATATTTTATAGACTAAATTTTTTTCTAGCGTGCCGTTTACCCTTTCGCAAAGCTTGACCCTTCTCCTTTAATTTGAAACAAAAATCGAGTCGCTGCGAATTTTCTAACTTCCAAATTGCATCATCTTGAAGTTGGTGTTCCCCTAGAACGAATCGTCGATCGAGTTATTTTATCGGTGCGGTCGTGAACTCGTCGAAATCGAGATACCGAATGAAATTGCTTATCAGAAATGGAAGCTTTCCCTCCGTATGCGCGGACAGATCGTTCGAGTTCGGCGGTTAAGACTGCCCCGCGATCGATTTTCCTCGTCACGAGACCACATGTGTCGCCCGAGCGAATTACAACGAAATTCCGCGGAGAAGCTACTGACCTCATCCGACACGCTCGGCATTACCAGGTCCAGGCTCTGCTCTTTTGCGTGCAAACGAAGTTGGAAAGAGCTCGGTACGCCGCTAAATTAATTTCATGGAATTGGATCAAGCGTTACCTTTCGTCGGGTCACAGGGTTTGTCGATGGTCGCGATAAACGCGTCGAAACGTAATTATCAAATGCTCTGGCCGCGTCCTGTCGCGCTAGAAAAGAGTGTAATTGGTGGCTGTCGATGCAACTCGCCTGTAACTTTCCAATTATTCCGCCGAAAAATAATATTTCCCGTAATTTTCATCGTCGAGTCGAGCTATGTTATTTTTAAATAACTGTTGACAGAATTGCAGCATCAATTAGTTTCCAATCGAGGCTAGTACACTCATGAAATGGACAATTTCTAATTGTTGGAACGACGTACAATATGAGATTTATTTAAATATTCCCGTAAAGGAAACGCCCTGTACAGTCCGATGTCGTCAGACAGGTGGCAAGTAGAAAGTTCTCCCATTTGGTCGGACACGTGGTGTAGTAGAATATTTTCGTGATGAATTGGACACGTCATAAAGCATCCTTTATTTGTCGGAGAATCTGACACAATAGAATGGTTTCATGGTTGGCTCGACCAGTGTTTCTCAACCTTTTTGAGATCGTGTTCCACTTGAACGCCACGAAAATTTCGATATCGCAAAAAGAAAAACGCACGTTAGAATGAGAAGCAATAGCAACGATGCGACGAATGCATCATAATTTTGTAATTTCCACTGAAATATTCTAACTCGTCCCCGGGCGAGGTTTGCGTCACAAGTTGGAAAACACTGAGTTACACCGGAAACTGGACGAACGTTGGCGTGTGTACGCAAGCGACCATTTTGCAATCAACCAAATGCATAGCAAGAATAGTTGTTTATATCTCGTTGGACGTATCACAGTGGAATGGACGCGCGCTTGGTCAGACGGTATGAGAAATGCTGCCGCTAGTGGAATAAATGCATATATAGCGAAACGTGCGAAATTCCGGCAACGATTCTAACAACGGAACGTACGCGCGATAGTGCAGTGCTTTGTTCCGATCTTTTATTCACGAATGATCAATCAAACTTTCGAATTAATTCGCAAACTAGCTTTTGTTCGCTGCCTCGCACAATTATCCGTGACGAATGGATCGCGATTCACGATTCGAATTGGTATCGAAAGCAAGAGCAATCTAAAATAATAAGCGAAGCACAAGTACAAAGGAAAGTTGGGTACATAAGAAACAAATGATAAATTGTAGAAACAAAATCAATATTAGATTGAAGAATTGCGTTATAAATACACTCGCTGGCCAACTTCTCATCTCTGGCTTGTAATCGATATCCTGCAAGTAGAATAGTCCCGCGCGTAGTCGGACATCTAAGTAGAATGTACTCCATGAGTGATCGATATCACTGTAAATAGAACGACGTTCTACTTTCTGAATACCTATGGTCGTAGAATGATCTTCGACACGTATGGACAGCTGAATAGAGTGGACAGGGCTACGAAATTAGAATACCGTCGTTGCGTTTAGTCAGTCGCCCGAAAGCGATAAATCTTACGTCTAGACTGTGTTTGGAGGACCCTATATAGGCCGACTGTTCCCTGGTACAGCTGACGCGGTAGAATAATCCCTCGGGTTGTCAGCCATCATAGCGGGAGAAGTTCAATATGTTGGCGGTATCTGACAGGGGAAAATAAAGCCATACATCATCGGGCTGTTAGACGCGCAAAACCAGTTCTTCCATTTGTCTGACGCGCGCGAAAACCCGCCTTAATGTTCTCCTCGTGCGTCTAACGACCATGGCGGGCAACAGAGGCAGAAATAAACTTCGGAACGATCTCCCTTTGATACCCTCGACCCCAGGGATGCAAATTTCCTTGCCTCGCATCTCGCTCGCGATCATCCGTTTTCTATTTTTTTTTTTCATCCGCTAACGACGCGCGCTGGTTATCGACGATTATCCAACCACGCACTCATTAATATAACAATTCCCAAGTACTGTAATTGGAGTATCGAACAGTCAATTCGAGCGTCGTTGGTATCAATAAAATAAATTAGACGTTCAAGCCTCGATAAAGCAACGTAAGACTCAGTCTACTATTTTATACATTTTCTGGGAATTTATTTGTGTAGATTAAACTCAATTTGTATTTGTCGTTAAAAATTATTTCTAGCTATGGAAGAAGGGGAAAGAAGAGTACTGGCATCGAAGTATCGAGCATTGAATTCGAGTTGATATTAGTAAAATAAACTCTGTCATGTGCAAGTCTCGATAAAGCGACATCGAGCTTAATCCACATTTCTGGGAATTCATTTGGGTAGGTCAAACTCAATTTGTTTGGTTCATTTATAAGTAAAAAAGAGTTGTATCTATGGAGAAGGTCTCACCGAAAATGGTTCCAACGCTGCTGGATATCGCGTTGGAGACGGCGCCGTCGGAAAGGGCGTCGAGACAGGCGCTAAGGGCGCAGGCACACGCGCTCGTACCTATAAGGTACTCCAGTACCATGTTCCATCCAATAATGAATGCTATTAACTCGCCTACTGTCACGTAACTGTACATGTAAGCGCTGCCCGTCGTGTGAGGCACTCGTACCCCGAACTCGGCGTAACATGCTCCTGCGAACACACAAAATTATCAAGCTGATACAGATCGACGTACGGTATCGTTGTCGAAGTTCTCTCGTCGCGTCAAGACGAATTCATCGTCGCTGAACGTGACACGAACGGCAGCGGAAAGAGGAAACCGAGCAACGACCAACAATTTTCATTGTCCCGCGAGCATTCCCACCCACCCCCTCCGCCCCCTCCCGGCCCTCGTGCAACGTCGATTCGGCCGCATTCCTGCGCTCCATTATTTACCTGGCCGCGCGGCGTGGATCGAGGGAATCGCGGCCAACAAAGGGACCGACGCGAGGAAATCCGATAGCAGCGAGATTACAACACGCTCCGCTTTCCATCCGCTTTTGTAGCGAGCGGCCAGGACCCCCAGCAATATACCTGTCCGGTCGGGGCTCGCGTGTCTCTCGCAAGACGTCCAGGAACCATTGCCTGGCTACGTGTCTGGCCGCCCTTCGCGCACGACCCGTCCGTAAATCTAATCCGACTTTATTTTCCACTCGGGCGTCGAGGAACGCCGCCTCACCGACGCATCCTTTCGTGAGCGTGTCGGGAAGGGAAGACGTACGGGCCGACGTGTACCGCGAGGCCGGTAATCATGCTTCCTCGCGCATGACCAACCCCTCCGTCGACGGCTCCCGAGACGCGGAAGAAACAATAAAGCCCTCACGGCGAAAAGAGTCTTTGAAACTTCCTTCGTCACGAACCCCAGCCACTCCCTGCACCTACAGCGAGGCGCATAACTGAACCTCAACCACAAGTTTTTTATGCAAATCATTATTTATTACTGATAACGTAAGAGAATATTATAAAAGAAACGTTATAGTTATTTTCATCGCAGTTAGAAGTAACATAAGAAATTTTTTTAGTAGTAATGTCTTCTCATTTGGCGGCGAAAAAAAGAATATATTGAGTCGGTTTTGCACCATGTCCAATACTTGCCAGTATTTAATATGTCGTTTATTTTTAATATTTTGTCCACAACCCTTTTGCTTGCAAAACTACACTAATTCGTGTCAAGATACCTTTTATTAATTTTCTGCAATAATCCGGAGATATTTGTCCCCACTGTTCTCTCTGTACAGACCAATACAAAACAGAAAATTTGTTAGCATTGAAACAATTTTTCACACCTTTAGCAGTGTGCTTAGGGTCTCTATCATGCATGAAAATTACATTTTTATAATGTTTGTTTTTTTTAATATTCTCCTATATTCTTAGCAGTAAATAATGATCTATACAATGCTTGTGATTATTAGTTCAGGTATGCTCCTTACTGTACTTCCGCTGCGGCGTCAGAGAGAGATTTTTTTGTTCAAAAGTACCAGGAATTGTTAACGAGACGCGAATGCACGTTGTCTGTGTAAATAAATAAATGTTTATATTTCGCCGCTAATTGTCAAGAGTCTTCGACACTTCCTTTGTCACGAACGCCAGCCACTCGCTGCACCTACTTCCGCTCCGGCGTCAGAGGGAGATTTTTCCGTTCAAAAGTACCGGAAGTTTTTAACGAGACGTGGATATACGTGTTGTTCATGCAAATAAATGTTTGTCGCTTTTTCGAAATCCTCGACTCGTGTTACACCGGGGCCATTATATTCGTACTTGGCAATGAACGTGTTATGTTATCTGTAAGTGGAGCAGTATCGTTTATAGTCAAGCTAGAACGCGTATAATTAAACTCTAGGCGATCAAAGATCTCTAAGTGCAACATTAATACTGAATCCGCCTGCGGCTGAACGACCGCGAATGGAATAGGCTGATGGAATATAGATTCGCGCCTACCACGAACCATAATTGAATTTTGAGCAAGGTATTATATAAATATTATATAAAATAGTCGCGAAACTGGCCAAAAAAAAAATTTAGAGATTCGACCCCGGAGTCTCTTGTTCTTTCTTTTGGTTGTTCCTTTTGTAGCACTTTCCGCTCGAGCTTCCACGATGGAAATACATGCCTCGTCGGCATCTCGAGTAATCCTGGCTGCATTGGGACCAATAATTATACCTATCACGTTCGTAATTCGTGGCAGACGGCTGGAGCCTTCATTAAAAATGCAAGCACCAGTCTATGCGGCGATTTCAATGGTTTTTGCCCCACTGAATAAAATGCTCATTTGCCGCATTTGCCTATCAGCGCGTTAATTACTTGCGGTGCACGCTTAGGACCAAGGAGGAATATTATCCGTTTAGATGCAGTTATTTGTCATTCTCAAGACTCGAATCCATCGATTTATCGTAACAAACATTTTTCAATATTTTTTAGACCGTCTATCTAAGGGGGATTCTAGTGTGAACCTTTGACAAAATCGATTTCTTTTTTTTTTGCATTTTCTTGAAGAATATAATTTGCAAAATATATCTGCAAAACTTTAGTTATGGTTATTTAAAGATATGATGGTCAATGTAAAACTTAAAAGCGTTTTTCTCGAAACTATGTTTATCAGAACGACATTCATGATATCTTAAAATCTACTCGATCAATCGACTTAAAATTTTAAATACACATTCAGTGCACGTAGCTCGTATAAGAATCAACCCAAAATTTTAACTTTGTTTTTCTTCAGACCCCCAAAATTTAAAAACAAACGAAAAAATTGATAATCGAACTTCAAAGTGTTACCATTTTTGTAATTATCGACTTTTTTCTTTTGTTCTAGTACCAGTTATAACCAAACTTATACTAATTAAGAATCATTCAAGTTGTTCCATTTCAAACAAACAGAATGGCCGGAATCATGGACACCGTGGGACGACCTTTCTTAAAAACAACTATGTTTGAACGTATGCAGTGTTACTAGCTTTAACTTTCTTTCGTCTAAAAAATTTAAAACTGTCACTAACACATATATAAATAAACCTTATAAATTTGACTGCAAAAGGTGGTATAGTTTAGTAGAAAAAAATTCCTCAAGAAAGTTAAGAAAAAAACACACATTTCACACTAGAATACCCCCTTAAAATTACGTAAAAATGCTACATAAAATACGACAATATGCAATTAGTATATAGAGTAAACATTATGCAAACTTAATGATAGCAATTACAAGAAAAATGTCTTTTTTATATCCGAATTCATCTTTTATCGATCTTGGACGAGCAAAAATATGCTAATTCTTTTGCCACCGAGTTACCAGGACTGTTACGTGAAATTCCTTTTCCTGCGAGAAATCGAATGTGGTTTCAGCATGACGACTGTCCAACTCACAATGCAGTTGCAGCTCGCGCAGGCTTTAATCAAAAGTTTCCTCGACGTTGGATCAGACGTGTTGCAAATTCTCGATGACCTACTCGTTCGTCTGGTCTTATGGTGCCGGACTTTTGTCTGTGGGAAGCTGCGAAAGCAGTTGTTCGTAACAATATTTCCACAACGCCAAAATATGCGAAGTAGCGAATAATTAGAGACTACAAAATAAAAAGCGCCAAGAATTGTACATCCACGTTGAACGCGAGTTTGAGTACTTCTCAGGACAAATTCTTGCCACTAATAATTTATTACTCCATGTTATTTAATCCCAATCCTACACCAAGCTTAAATTATTGCAAGCTTTGAATATTTCAGTATTGACATTCGATGTGTTTTATAAATTAATAATTAATGTGCATTAATGCAGCTGAATAATAAATATATCTTGCAACTCGATAACGCGTAATCTCATTAATCTTGAAACAGCTCGGATTTGGCGCGTGACTGAAAACGGCATCTCGACAGTATTAAAATCAAAGGTCATATTGTTGAAGTTAGTTGTAATCCTGTTTATTCCCTAGTACGTTTCTCCGTAAAGTTTCGTACGACGCGCGTAAAATTCTAGATAGCTAATAAAATCGAGGAACCAACCAAAGAGACGACCCGGAATTGCATTCGTTCGTTGTTTTACAGCTTTATCGGCGTTCTATTTAGTAGAATTTCATTTATTTACTTTTAATAAACTGCATTTATTACGGTATATCTCTGAAACCGGTCTTTCCACGGTTCATTATTCCACGTTATTATATTCGCTTTTATTGTAATCCGAAATTGAATACCGCATTGCCGTGCGCTACTCGGCGTTTTCATTTTCAATAATTGATCCACGCAATCCAATCTACCGTCCGTTGCCGACGTCGTGTTTCGCGGCTCGCGTATAAAGCGCATCCGGCACCGACGCGCGTACTTTAAATTTCAGTAAGTAGAAAAAGAATTCGATTTGCCGACGTTACCCCGGCTTGAAACCGTTCCTGACAGCCCGACCCGAGGCTCCGACCGTACAAACACCCGTAAATCTAATCCGACGCTGCTACCCACACCCTAATAAACTCCGTGGAAAATTTCCACCGCGAACGCAAACGCGGGGAAAAATATTGTCTGAAACGCCGTCGAAGCCGCGGCTTTTTCTTCGTTCCGACTGCAAGCTGTCCTCGAGAACGCTTCGCAATTTTTAACCTCTCGAATAAACGTATAGAGTGGGTCGATTCAAACCCAAGAAGGGTACCATACGAAGCACGGTCGAATAAGCGTCACGGTAGAGACTCACCGGAAAGAATGGAAGCAATGGCCGCAATAATGAACGAGATGACGACACCCGGGCCGGCGACACTGCGAGCCACCATTCCCGCAACTAGGTACATCCCTGTCCCGACGCAGGAGCCAACTCCCAAAGACGTCAGGTCCAGAGTTGTCAGGCACTTCTGTGGATCAGAAAATAGAACTATGTCAAAGCTTTCGGTCCCGATCGACGAAACCCCGATATCTCTGCATAATGCACCGTCAAAATGCTCTCTCCGAAATTGCTCCACGTTGCAAGCCATCGATTCTGCGAGCTCATGCTCGCCGTTATGAAATTTAGCGGCTTCGTCAGCGATTTTTCATTATCGAAACTTGAGACACCTTCGACCCTTCGGACCTAATTCTTTCTCGATCTTTACTCGTTCAGGCAGCGTTTCGAGCTTCATTTAATGGCCGTTTATTTACGATAATATTAGATCGTCCAATGGGTAAATTTGTTCAATATAACTAGTATTAACTTAGTAGTTAATTTTGTTCAATAACACTAGTCAATGGCAAACATGTATTCAAATATTTCCACGCAACGAATTGAAAATGAAAATGTGTCTTCTTGACGAGTCTAACTCGTTATTAGTTCTTTATGACAAGTTTCACAACAGGCTACATTATTACATTCGCAACATATTTTTAAAACAAGTCTGTTCTTTTCTATGAACATTGTATTTAAATTTAAACAAAATATAAAATTAATTGTAATTAAATTGTACATCGAAGGGTTAACATACTTTAAGCCATTGCGTGACTTGTATTTTTTCAAACGAGAGTTCAATTCCTCTTCCAGTATGTGTATTAGTAGATAGGAAGGAGGCTTAATCGCGAAGTTTGGGAGCGAAAACAGGGCGTAAATATGAACCGGTTGACCCAGTACGGGGACCCAGTTCCGATCGACGCTAAGATCCGGATTTCCAGTTTCAATCCGAAGGACCAAGACGTTATGTAGGCGTCGATGGTAAACCGATACTTCCTAGGAATTCCCAACAAACTTCCATCCGTCGAAGAAACAATAGCAGTCCGCCTGGGGGAACGTTTCGCGAGAGCTGGCACACCCAGCGTCGCCTAAACAACCGCGAACTTTCCCAATAAACGAAGCCCCGGGTTCGCGGAAATCGCGGTTGAAACGCGGTTCGATGCGCGACGACTGTTTCTGAAAGGTCCGACCGAACTTCGCGAACATGCTCCATCGAGAAAGTTGGACGAAAAACGGCGCCGATCGAGCCGGAAGTTCGCGCGAGTTACGGCGCCCGGTGACCGAGCGTTTCGTCGAACAGGAAATAAGGGAGCACAAGCTGCCAGTACGATTTTTATTAATAACCATATTTAAGGAGAATTTTTGAGAATTTTTGAGAATTTTTGAGAATTTTTTTACAGAAGAACCGTACAACTTTTTATAAATTCCTCATTAGCATATATTCAACAGACTTCCAGTCCGTCAAATGTTCAACCTGAACCTTTCGTATCTCCTGACTCGTATCATCCTCCTTTGGATATTGCTCTTCCTTTACATCATTCTTTTCAATCCATTTCTTCTTTCAATGGCAGAAAATTTTTTCATAAAGCCAATTACCAGGAAATAAATAATTATCTCTCCACAATAGACTGGGATGGTATCCTTCGTGAACTATCCGTAGACGAATCTGTAGATTTTTTATATCAACAGCTCAAATTGGTGATTGATAATTATATTCCATCTACCACATACCAAACTTCTTTATATCATTCCTCCTTCTGAATCATGTATTCCCCTAATTTGGAATTTTATCAATTCGTTGAAGAAATCTAAGTCACCTGCCTCTTGTTATACTTGTAAGGATAATATATTGAAGAACAATTTATCGGTAACGAATGCCTTTCCTGAATTTTTTGAATCAGTATAACACGGAGGATACTGTTCATAGTAATTCTACTGATTTAGAATACCCCTCCAATATAAATATTTCTAACCTTTCTCTTGGTATTGGTGAAATACTTACATGTATTAACGAACTCGAAAATATTCCTCCCATATTTTTTAAATCATGTGATTTTATTATGTCCAGAGTCTTATGGTTAATATTTAATAAATCTTCATCTGCCGGCATTTTCCTAAATTATGGAAGTTATGCTTAATTAAACCGATTCCTAAATCTACCAACTCAACGTCAATTTCAAACTTTAGACCTTCTAGTACTCAAAATGTCATGTCTAAGATTATGGAAAACTTAATTAGTCGTAAACTACCATTTCCTTGCAAAGGCATCATCATTGATGAACAGCATGGATTCGTTATCGGTAGATCGACTGTGACTAACCTTGTGAAGTAACATTATTATTTGACCAACTGTATGGATAAAGGCATGCAGGTTGATACTATTTGCACTGACTTTTCTAAAGCCTTTGATTCTATTAATCATTCAATCTTAACGTTCAAATTAAAGGCATTAGGAATAAACAGCTGTATGCTTTTCTAGCTATCCAGCTTTTTAGAGTTCAAATAGGTAAATTCAATAATAATTACTCAAGAGAAATTAATGTTCCACAAGGTTTACATTTGGGACCTCTTCTATTTATAATATATATTAATGACATTTCTAAGGTATTCCAACACTAAATTTTTATTATATGCCGATGATCTTTGATCCCTTTGCTACTCCACAAATTCTGAGTGCAAACCCACAGGTACTTCTGCTACCTGTCCCCTGTCTATTCGTCTTGTGTTTGATACGATACTTTATCCAACTTTATCCAATAATATATAAATGACATTTCTAAGGTATTCCAATACTCTAAATTTTTATTACATATCGATGATCTTAAGTATAAATGTGTTTATAGTCAGCAAAGTGCTCAATCAATTCAAGATGACCTTTACAGGCTTCAGAATTGGTGCTCATTAAATAAATTGTCCCTCAATTTAGATAAGTGCCATATTGTTAAGTTAAGTAGTAAGAAAAATAATATAGTTTATAATTATACTCTAAATGGCATCGAACTAGCCTCGCTTAACCCCTTAGCTTACAATGACGTCTCAGAAACGTGATAAGTTTACCGAGCCAAACCTTGTTGTCGCTTTTGGCACGCACAGTTGGAAATTGAATCGTAAGGCAAGGGGTTAATTATGTTAAAAATCTTGTTATAACTTTCTCTTCTAACTCATCTTTCAAAGTTCATTATGAAAAAATTATTTCGAAAAGTCTCTGCTCTCTGGGACTTATTCATAGGGTTTCCAGATACTTTAGTAAAACCAAAACACTTAAAACTTTATATTGTGCTTTGACAAGACCTATTTTAGAATATGGCAGCATAATTTGGTCTCCTTATTACGAAACATACATCGACAACATTGAGAGAATTCAACACTTTCTTCGTCTTGTTGCTAAGCATAGTCGGAGTCCCATGCCTCTTGAATCACATAATTATAATGACTTACATAATACTAATCTTCAAACACTGCATAGTAGAAGAAGAATTGCAGATATTATGTTTGTAATTAAGCTAATCAAAGGTCATATTTCGTGTTCAACGTTTACTCAATTGTTTCCTTTGTACGTACCATTTAAATATTTAAGAAATCACTTTCTATTTCACCTCATTTTGGACCTCAGAATTGTGTAAATAAAATGATTAGTAATGCAAATTTTGTACATTCCAAAACAGATTTAATCGAATAATCATTAGAAAGTCTAAAATTATCCTTGCAACATATTGTAAATTAATTTATTTTTGTTAAATTCACTAAGCAATAATGTTTGACTATGTAAAATCCACATCTGTAGTTCCTTACACATTACATTTTTTTACTAAAGGGTTTAATCCCGTTAATAAATGAATAATAATAATAATAATATCTTTTGCTAACTGTGGTGGTAGAACAAGAATTAAATTGAAATTGAATAATTTTATATCTCGAAATGAAAATACGAGTATCGTTCAAGCAGATTGACCCGATTCGAAACACTGTGCGGTCGGAGGGCAATTTACGAAGACGTATTACTGCTTGTTCTCCAGATAAAGCGCGGACGTTGGATCTTTCGTCGGTCAACAGTCGTAAAATATAGTCCATAAATGGTTCCAACCGTGACTGGCCGAATGGGAACGTCAGAAAAAGCTCGAAACACTTCCTCGAGCTTTTGTCGTGGTAGTTGGACCGCCGGACCACGGAGGAAACCTCGGGGAAATTAATTTCCCATTACTGTTGACGCGAAGATTAATCACGTGGACTGAAGGAGCCAGCCTTCATGAACGGCCCGTGCGACTCTAACGCAAGGGGTTGAAAAATCCCGTTAAAAATAGCCGGGATCGATACGCGGAGGTGGATTCCACGCACACACGGGAGCCTTCCTTCCTCGAAGATTCAGACGCCGGGCGAAAACTGGGAGGCCTTAATGTCGGGCGTCGGGAAAAAGAGAACCGGGTACGTCCAGGTGTCCCAGTAGTAAACAGCGATGATTTATTCAAATACTATTGGACAACGAAATAGCACGTGCTCGTACAGAATATTTCTCCAGTAAATAATTTCGTATGCGAAAACAAATGGCCGCGTCGCGAGAAAGGGAATCGAGTTTTCGTCAATTTTCGGGACACTTTTTGTGAGAAAAAGCTGCACGGATATCGAGTTGATTTTTGCCCTGACAACAATGCAATATCTGCTTGACATCCGTGTCAAGTCTCGACTCGATCGATACGTTCGTTTCCGAGATATCGCGTCAACGAGTTCGAAAAATGTTATTTCGAAAGAAAAAACGGTTAGAAAATTTTACAAGCAGTATCGAAGAATAGGATTTAATTTGAAATTCCTGTAACTTCAGCGTCGCCTTGGTTGCAAAATGACTGATTTCGAACAAACGAGGCCCCTCTGAGGGGATCGAAGGAAATTAGAGACTCGTTTGTTGGAAATTGCTTGCCTGTAATTTCTGCTTGGAGTCGGTAGGGTGCAGTGGCTCTGGTCCACTCTTCGCCTGGTCACCCTGAAGACTGTCCACGTTCTTCGTTCGTATAAACTTCCCGAAGAGCTCCAGGCCCTTCTCCCGATCCATGAGTTCCAGCTTCATTTTTCCTGAAAACGAAAAATACACAACGTTATCGCTGGCAACCAAACGCGTCCTTCTGCTTTACTTCCGGTTCTTCCACCTCTGTTCATCTAATTTCTGTAATTCCTTCCCGTAGAAAAAGAAGACTCCAGACTGGGCAATTTAAACAATTTCTATTTGATTTTTTGTAAATGAACGTATAGAATTTAGTCTAGGCAAGTAGAATAGGAGGATGTCTAGTCAGACAGTTATTAGAGAGAGCACACCTAAATGGAATTTGTTTTTAACAAAACCTTTGTTGTTTGGCCAGTGATTTGATATCGTTTAAACTAACGAGCGGCATCGTTACTATTTTAAAAATCCAATTAATAAAATAGCGATTTCCATCGCGTCGCTCGTGGACATTTTCAATACAGTTTGCAGTAAGCACGATAAAATCCAGTGTGATCTGCCGTTAATGACGACAGTAAATGTATTCATGGTCGAACGTTCTTACGTAAAAGACCTCGCGTGATCATAGTTAGCAAGGATAATACTACCGCACGTGGTCAGATATTTATAAGTAGTGTAAGACCGTATATGGCCAAACGTTAATCAATGTGACGAAGATATACGCAATCGGAACAATACAGGAAGTAGCTGAACATTACTGCAGTCTTGTCAACCCCCAGTTAATATTCCACTTAAAAAAAAATATAACACTCAGTATGAAAGCAAATATAAATATGTATATAATATGTTTTCGTACGAGGTTTCCTTCCGGAAGAAAGAACAATTTTAATAGTATAAAGTGCATTATAGTATGGTATATTATAATTTTACTTGTGGATGTTTATGCATTTTGTGGGAAATTTTAATTTTTTAAATATTACAAGATGCACGTAACATGTAAGAATATAAAAAAAATATTTAAAGTAAGATACGAATTATTATATTTAAAAGTTGAGACCTCTTACAAAGCTCCCATTTCATCTAACTATAATGCTTGTGTTTCTATTCATATCAATTTTAATTCTTGAAAAAAAATACCAATTACAGTCATGAAATGAATAACATGATTATTTTCACCGAGAAGGGAAATAGTTTGATTGGAAAGAAGAGAGACATCGATGAGATTGGAGAAAATGGCGGAAAGAGTGGTCCATAAGTAGAAGGGATTATGCAGATCTAAATACGAGGGATAATCGTTCGCAACAAAAATTCTGTCCTGGAAAGCGCCCGTAGCTTTACACCGATAAATTATTCAACGCACACTCAGCTGGGAAAAGTAGCTCTAGCTTGTATGAAAATGATGCTTACCAGCTCGCTAATGGAATACCTTAATATTGTCTGATCGCTTATAGGGTCGCTCTACTAGCAGTTACGAAGTGCCCGCTTTTTCTGGGGAACGAACTGTTGAAACGAACAGAACAGAATCGCAAGACAACGACTCGACGGAGTGTGTACGCTTTTAAACTAATTGCACTTCGCTGCAACGCGCCCTTATCGTTCACCGTCTTCTTGGAATTGTTCAAATATTTTAGATCGATTCGTTTGCCGCGAGTAAATATAAATAAATGCCATCGAAACTTTGAAACGTATGCGAGAAGGGAGGTTGATTCTAAAAGCGTATAGAAACGAAATTTCCATGGAGACACGCCGTAATTGAATTTTTATTCGAACGAGCCAGCTCTTTTATCGTCCTTTTTTTAAATTAAAAGTAGCCTCTAAACAAATTTCGTCCGCGCAGAAAAGAATGGAACGCGCAGGGCGGAAACCAAAATTTCCAGCATCGTCGGCGACGTGACAACAATGAAAGCCCGCCGCGTGCGCTGAACAGCACGGAGAAAATATTTCCCTTGTAATCACGTAATTACTTCCCTGGCTGGGGTGAGGGTAAGGTAATTAAGGGACGGGTGTTGGCCGACTAAAGCCCCGACTGGCTTCAGAATTTTAGGTTCAAAGGGGCAAGGCAACCGGGAGGAGGGATGAGACGGTGAACAATCGCGAGGCTCAAAAGCTGATCCCGGACGAAAGCTCGGTTTCTGTGCGTCGTTGCTCGGATTGCATTCTGAAACAGCCGCGGCAGACGCCTCTGGTTATCATCCCCAAACGTTTCCTGGTGCGAAATTCACGGCGCACCACTTCGCAAAGGAATTTGGATAATCGGCGTTCGCGAACGATTTGACGCTCGATCTAATTTTTCCAGATCCAAAATATTATTTCTATTCGAAAAATCTAATCGTAGATAAAGGGCATTGCGATTATACCGAATAACGAGTGACAACGATTAATTATTGTTTGTTTCGTTTCCGTTTAACGCGTTTATTTGCGCCAAACGAGGAGAAAAAGTATGGAAATCGAAGTACACACGAGAAAGCACGGCACGTACCGGTGGAAAAAGCAAGATGAATGGACGACGTTCAGCGTGCAGCTGTTTTGCGACCCAACTCTTAACCGAGCTAATTTGAATTACAAATTTACAACGTACGCGAAATTTGAGAGGCAGTGGAACACGAGAGGCGCCGGTCGGGGTATTTTACGTTTCAAAAATTTCTCCAAGTATACTCGAGCGGATCCACGTACGTGCCTGTTATCGAGAAAAGTCGGGAGACCGCGGGAAAACGCGCCGTCGCATACTGACGAGCCATTTTTGTGGCTCGTTACAGCATAACTAGAAAATCACGTCCAACCCCCATACACTACGGGTGAAAACTCGACTAACGCGATTATTTCCCGCGCGGTCGTATGCATGCATAAAGTCCGCCGGCGTCCCATGAGCTGTAAATTTACGAAACGTTCTCGCACCCCTTGAATATTCCCCGGTTGTGTTTAATTATAATTTTAATTTTGATTGCGTTTCGCTCCGCGTCCTTATCTGCCCCGTGGAAATTCCGACCAGAACCGAACAGGGCGCAGAATATTAAAAGAAACTAAGAAAAGCTTCCATTTAAATTTTCCCCATTCTCTTTTATTTTCAACCGTGTCAGTTATTTATGATCGTTAGATTTTCTTCTAGCTATCGAAGAAATGTTTCAAACTCTAATGCAAATTTCAGTAGAATTCTACGAGAAAGCAGGTTGGACTTCTCGAGCAACGATGGAGAACGAATGGAACGTATGTACGAGGGAAAAGAAAGGGTTGGAATCGTCTATCGACGACGAGAAATTTAAAATGCGTTCGAGGGAGGGTCGAGGGTTCATCGATGGCAGTTTTAAATAGCCCCACGGAAAAATACTTGTGCTTAATGGTACGCAAATTTTATTCCACGTGGCGTCGTCGCCGAGGAATTCTTTCTTTTCTTCGTCCCTGGACGCGCCGTCGAGTATTTCTCCCCTGTTTAAACGCGCAACCAGACTCGTGGAAGTTCCGACGGCGCCAGGGATCGACTCGATCCTCCGTGGAGATTCCGAGCCCCCAACCCCTTGCATTCGTCCCTCCCACGTCGAGGGATGAACTGTGAAGGATAAATTACGCGCATCACGGTGAAAATTCAAATAAACGGGATGACGCGACACGCGGTGGTCTCGACATTTTCTGCACGGGACTCGAGTTTAATGAAAATCCACAAGCCGACGACGACGAGGCGAAACGTTGGGAAAATATTATTTTCCAAGAATGTTTTTCAGGAATCAGTGTATCGTTTGCGGTTCGTTTCAATCCATCGCTAGTCGCCCAAGTATCGTCGAGCGCACTCGACGAGAGCCTCTGAAATGTCAGACTCCAGGAAAAGCTGTTTCGGGACGTTCAGGTAGTCATTCAGATGCTAAAAATACGCAAACCCGAGGCCGTACGGTCGCGTAGATTTCTGAGAGATCGATAGTCTCGAACAGCGTTGAATCGCGCTTATTACTGTGCTCGATCGCCGACACGAAGCGAGGTAAAACGAGCGTGACACTAACAGGCTCATTCACCGAATGAGCCAGAACCTTTCGAAAGTCGAGAACCACGAAATTATCGGCTACAGACAGCTTCGTTTTATTTTAACACTCTCCGTTTCTCACGTACGTTCCAATATTGCGATCAGCTGCCCGTCAAATTTCTCCGTAATATTAATATAATATTTCCTGCCTGGAAAAAGCAAGTTTTTGTCCGTCCGACCACTGGTTTCATTTTACTGGAAATATTTCTAGATAAATCGAAAGGATACGTTAGTCATATTTATTAATAAACTGGCGTTTCGCTCCGTCGTCGACAGTGGATGTTTATCTATTTTAAAGTAATTGCACGCTTAAAAAATGAAATGGAAAAGCCGGTCGATAAAGTGCACGTTCGTGTATGTAGAGTGTTAATAACGCTTGCAGAGTGTTAACATGTGTTTCGCGGTATTTTTTAGCGTGTTACGAGAAATGGGTATATTACGATAACGTTGAACGTGTTTTTAAAGAATATTATCTTCAAAGTTTCCCAGAAAAATTCAAGGTATCTTATAGCCGCCGTGGTTTATGGAGATAGGAATCTGCGAGTAAAATTTCTCTCGACGCGAGAATTTTTACTTTGCTCGTTTTTTTGGGGGACGTCCGGATCGGTCGCGAAACGTTTCCAAGATGGCCGCGTGGAGATTTCGCGTACCGTCGAGGGAGAACAGTCTCGCTCGAGAATCTAGGCGATTTTCTATCGCGTGTGCGTTCACGTAAAGGGGCGGCGACGTGATTTATCGGCGGCAATGTCGATGACAAAGCCCGTCACATATAGCCCACGCTGCCGAGCAGTTCCACGGCTAACGAGCATTTCGAGTAACTCGACGCCGCAAATTATCGCGCGTTAACACGCCTCGCCCTTCGCTCGCGATAATTTCGCTTCCGCGGAAACGCGACCGTCCGTAGAAACGATGCTATAATTAATCGAGAATTAGAACGCATAATGCCCTCGGCAAACGAACTCTGCGCTCGCGTTTTGCCTTCCGTCTCTTCCCCCGCCTCGCCCCCCCCCCCCCATTTTTATTAGCCTCTGTTTCGCGCTCGCGAATGGAACAACAAATTTGTCAAGAGGAGAAAACTAGAGGAGAGCAGTTTCACAAAACTTTCTTACAAAGGGTTGCTTAGAG